GTCTCGGACCGCATCCGTGAACATAAAGCTGACCTGAAACACGGTAGGACTAACACCTCAGCCGTGGCAGATCACTGTTACAACTCAGTGGGCTCACATGATATTGACTTCTCCAAGACAGAGGTTCTCTGCAAGCCATCTGGCTATCATGAGAGATTCGTTCATGAGGCGATCCACATATACAAACACAGAGACAACTTTAACCGAGAAGATGGATTCTGGCTCAGCAATCATTGGAAGGACTTAATAAACCATTTCGATACACATTAGGGTGTGTAGAATAATACATAGTGTGATATTAAATGTATAAGATATAGGTTGGTTTACAGCAATACAGTATATAATTTAATGTTGGGTTTATCTATGGCAGTATATAGTACGGTATATGCTCGTGTGATGTAAGAGAATAAGGTTTAGATGGAAGCATATTATAGAATTTTTACGAGGTAAAATTGTAATGTATTACTTGCTGTTAGTAACTCAGCTTATTATAGAGTATAGTAAGTATACTGATGGTGCGATGCAGTTTATACTTTAGTTTTTTATGTAGTTTATACTTTAGTTTTCTACGTGTTGTTGAGTAACTGCAGCTACATATCATTAACATTCCTTTCCTTTGTTACTGCTAATCCCTGCACCCCCCTTGGTTGCTGCTGATCCTGCATAATGCATGGGCATAATATGACTTTGACACCCCCCCGCCCAACGCCTACGCATTTTCCATGAATATGCTAAATCCCTCTTCACATGCACATTCTTTTTGTTAAGGCGCTCTTCAACCCCCAATGCAGCTTATATATAAGCTCCTAGTTTGGTAGTGTCTCATTCTTCACCTGAAGACGGCTGCTTGCGTTGTAGCCGAAACGTCGTGAGAATTGTTTTATTATGTTTTATTTTTATTATTTTATTACTTCCCTTCTACGTGACTTTACCGAAAGAAACAAGAAGATGAATCCCTGCAGTCACGAAAGCTTTAAATCGAAATTTAACCGCCTCTACGGGGAGGGTTTCCACATAACTTTGAGATCCTTCAACAAGCTCCGGGATAAGAAGGCTCAGCTAATCGAGTCTCTCACCTTTCTGAAGAGATGCCGCGACTCTAAGGTAATACCAAACGCATTTACACTAACATCTGCTGCTGTAACTTCTTCTAATGCGAAACGAATTCTGTCTAGAACTAGCTTAGCTCTTATCTCAGAGAAAATCAGACTTACGCGCACCGAACTAGATCAGTTAGACAAGACACTCTACAAATCACACTTATCTTTGAGTGTAACAATGTCCACATCGGATTGGGAACATGTGGAAAAAATGACTGCCTCTTCAGCTGCCGCTATGTCGACTAAATGTAAGGACAACTTGATTTCCAAATTCAATCGCCTCTCAAACAAGAAACCGGACCCACACATTGAAAAGCTAGATATTAACAAAGTCGTAATTAATCGCAGTAACAGTCCTATTTCTGAAGGTTTGAAATCCGTTTTAGCTAAAGGACTAAACTTTGCAGTCACACCTAGACACATACCAGTTAATGATATAATTGCTCGAGTAGATGTAGCTCTCAAGGGCTTGAGTCACATCGCTGCAGACGTAGCAAGATCCGAAATCTCTGTAACCCTCAAAAACGCTAAGATGCCAGCTAGCAACATCAGCAAAGAGGAGCGTTTTGAATTAGCTCAATTAAAAAAGAGGGATGACATTGTCATCCTCTCAGCCGACAAAGGCAATGCCACTGTCATCATGGACAAAATAGAATACAACAACAAAATTCAAGAACTACTAAACGATGGCAGCTATACAAAAATAAAAAGAGACCCCACCAACAGCCTCGTCTCCAAAACCAACAACATCATTTCTGCTTCAACCGCATTAATTGATCAGACCAAACAGTTCTCGTTGAAACCTTCTGCAGCCAGACCACCAAGATTGTACGGCTTGCCAAAGATACATAAAGAAGATACACCTCTTCGTCCCATTGTCTCTACTATCAACTCCCCCACTTACAAACTGGCTCGTTTTTTGTCCGAAATCCTACGGCCTTTCACTGGAAAAACCACCTCTGCAGTACTAAACTCTACTGACCTGGTATCGACAATCAAGGGGATTGCCCTGTCCCCAGACGACCTGCTTGTCAGTTTTGATGTGGTTTCCTTGTTCACCAAGGTACCTGTGCCTGACACCATCGCAATCATTGAAGACTTGGTTCATCAAGGACTGAATGCTGGGGTACCCCCCCTGGTGAGACACTGCTTAACCAATACATACTTCACCTGGAATGGAACCTTCTACAAGCAAATTGAGGGCACCCCAATGGGCTCCCCCCTATCTCCGGTTGTAGCCAACATCTTCATGGAGAAATTTGAGACGGACGCCATCCAGACTGCCACTCTACGCCCGACCTTATGGAAGAGGTACGTAGACGACACTTTTGTCATCTGGCCACATGGCCGGCCTGCTCTAGACCAATTTCTCGACCACATCAATTCCATACACCCAGCCATCAGATTCACCATGGAAGTCGAAAATGATGGCAAGCTACCCTTTTTGGATGTCCTAATCAAAAGGAGACCTGATGGTTCAATGAGCCACTCTGTCTACAGGAAAGCCACCCACACGGATGCTTATCTAAAACCGGATTCCCACCACCATCCATCTCAGAAGAATTCCCTCATCAAGACTCTATATCATAGAGCCCAATGCATCTCCGACCATGAACACATTTCCAGTGAACTCAAACACGTACGCCAAGCTCTTAAGGCAAATGGTTACTCCGACTATACAATCCGCAAAGCCATCACTCCAACCATCAAGAAGGATCCTGTTGAGGAGCCTTTCAAGACCATCACCTTACCCTACATTGCTGGGGTCACAAAAAAGATCTCCAAAATCCTGATTAAACACAAGATCCAGGTCCGATTCAACACAGTACATAAAATCCGTGATCTGGTACCGTCTGTAAAAGATGTGGTTCCAGACATACAGTACCCTGGCGTCTACAAACTAAGTTGCCTCTGTGGTAGCAGTTACATTGGGGAAACCAAACGACATGTCTCGGACCGCATCCGTGAACATAAAGCTGACCTGAAACACGGTAGGACTAACACCTCAGCCGTGGCAGATCACTGTTACAACTCAGTGGGCTCACATGATATTGACTTCTCCAAGACAGAGGTTCTCTGCAAGCCATCTGGCTATCATGAGAGATTCGTTCATGAGGCGATCCACATATACAAACACAGAGACAACTTTAACCGAGAAGATGGATTCTGGCTCAGCAATCATTGGAAGGACGTAATAAACCATTTCGATACACATTAGGGTGTGTAGAATAATACATAGTGTGATATTAAATGTATAAGATATAGGTTGGTTTACAGCAATACAGTATATAATTTAATGTTGGGTTTATCTATGGCAGTATATAGTACGGTATATGCTCGTGTGATGTAAGAGAATAAGGTTTAGATGGAAGCATATTATAGAATTTTTACGAGGTAAAATTGTAATGTATTACTTGCTGTTAGTAACTCAGCTTATTATAGAGTATAGTAAGTATACTGATGGTGCGATGCAGTTTATACTTTAGTTTTTTATGTAGTTTATACTTTAGTTTTCTACGTGTTGTTGAGTAACTGCAGCTACATATCATTAACATTCCTTTCCTTTGTTACTGCTAATCCCTGCACCCCCCTTGGTTGCTGCTGATCCTGCATAATGCATGGGCATAATATGACTTTGACACCCCCCCGCCCAACGCCTACGCATTTTCCATGAATATGCTAAATCCCTCTTCACATGCACATTCTTTTTGTTAAGGCGCTCTTCAACCCCCAATGCAGCTTATATATAAGCTCCTAGTTTGGTAGTGTCTCATTCTTCACCTGAAGACGGCTGCTTGCGTTGTAGCCGAAACGTCGTGAGAATTGTTTTATTATGTTTTATTTTTATTATTTTATTACTTCCCTTCTACGTGACTTTACCGAAAGAAACAAGAAGATGAATCCCTGCAGTCACGAAAGCTTTAAATCGAAATTTTAAATAAATGTTTTCTCCTACAACATCAGAGTGCAGCGCCACATTAAATACGCACTACAATGACAATAGTTTAAAGCGATTTGAAGCATGTTTTATTGGGGGGGGGGGGGGCAGAGTTTTGTGACGTAATATTTGAGGAGGGGGGGTCTGACTTTTTGTGACGCCGTGTGACGGGGGGTAAAAAATCGTCCAAAGTCGCGTGACATCATTTATGGACGCCCCTTTCTGAAATATTCTTGAAGACAATGACAATCCAACTGGAGACCCACCCCTGTCCGATCCAACTGCTACGTTAGAGTATCAACAAAGTGCCAATGGACTCTCCACATTGTTCCAATGTCCTTTTTTTAAATGTTTATTCTCCAAGATAATGTACAACTTTATTTAAATGTACGTATGAAACAAAAGAAAACTACCATCGTCTAGACAACTTAAAAAAGTATAGACAACTTTAAAAAGATTTGAGATTTCTGAATTTTTCCACATTTGAGTTTCTTCGCAACTTTAAAAAAAATGCACCCAAAAATGCTCAAGTTGAGTAAAATTGTCTTGCCTCATCAGCTCTTCCGTTATATTTTTTCACCCGATGACGATTGCTTGTGTTGCGATCGAAACATCGTGATATTGTTATTATTTTATTATTATTATTTCTATCTACGTGGCTTTACCGAAAGACCCAAAGAATAAAAAGTTTGCAACTTCTGAAGCCAACTTTCCAGCAGTTACCATGGTGAGTGGGACACAAGGGGGCAGCCTCAACCAGCAGATGAATGGATCCCGGGACGTGGCTCTCATGGTGATGTGGGGCCTCCACATTCATTGCCCGGCAGAAACAGCCTGATGATGATGTCAGCGTCAGCCCGTTACGGAGAGTCTAAAGCAGATAGAAGCAACATCGCTTACCCCCCTTTCATTAACGCGAAATCCCCGAGGGTTGTGTCATAGTCCGTGGAACCCTCCTAAGCCACACACGTGGACACACGTACGTAGACACACACACACAGACAGAGATTCCCCGTAAAGCCTTCACAGACTTTTGGGGCAAGTGGTGTTAGCGAGCACCAATGCTGGGAGTGGGTTGCCAGCACGACGTCCGGCCGCTTTGCCTCCTTAGTGGCGATGTTTACACACCGCACCGGGTACTCGTTTGAGGCTGAGTCGACCTTGGGGAGTCCCAGGATCGGTTCGGATAATCGTGACTGGTGTTGGCGGCCGTGAGTGGGATTGGAACTCAGTTCGCCGGGTTCGTAGCGGAGCAGCGCTAACGCGTTTAGAAGACACACACACACGCTCATACACACACACGCTTATACACACACACACGTTCATACACACACTCATACACACACACACGCTCATACACACAGACTCATACACACACACGCTCATATACACACACGCTCATACACACACGCACACACGCTCATACACACACACACGCTCATACACACACGCTCATACACACACACACTCATACACACACACACACTCATACACACATACACGTTCATACACACACACGCTCATACACACACACTCATACACACACACGCTCATACACACACACTCATACACACACACGCTCATATACACATACACGCTCATACACACACGCTCATACACACACGCACACACACGCTCATACACACACACATACGCTCATACACACACGCTCATACACACACGCACACAATGCTGCCATCAGCTGTTTTGCATGAACGTTAACTCACAACAACAAATACACGTTCGAACTAGCACACACACACGGGCACACAAACCCAGACATAAACACATTACGACTACTACTACCACCACCACACATGTGTCCCCGCACACCACACACACAAACACGCGTCCACTCACAGACTTAAACACAAACACGCGCACACACAAACACGCGCACACACGAACACGCGCACACACGAACACGCGCACACACAAACACGCGCTCACACAAACACGCACTCACACATACACTCACACGCAAGTCCAAACACACGCGCGCACACACACGCACGGCTGCAGCTTGAGAACTCCGAGTGCCGCTTGAAAGCCAGTTGCCTGGATGCCAGGCTGAATAATCATCGCGCAGACTTGTCGGATACACATAATTGGCACAATCTTCAGCCGTGCAGCAGCTGTCTGTGGGTGCTCCCGGCGTGTTCCAAGGTAAGGGATGGCATGCACGCGCACAACGACATCGAACGCGGTTTACTCAGTCCAGATCCTTAATGATTGCCACTGCTGGGGTCTCGTTCACTGCTTGCTGAATTCATTGGCGGGACGTTCTTGTGTATGTGTATTGGGTATGTGAGGTTTTTTATGTTCATAATATGTTTTGGGGGTTAGTTCGCGTGAATAAAAATGTGTCGTTAAACCCGCCACCACCCGGCACAGCCAATTAGTAAGGTTTGTCACGTAAACAGAACATGCCAATTCGTTACTAGTGCAGCCCGCCGGTGTGTTGGAGAGCGAATCCACAACATTCATGTTGTTTTTAAATTAACAACGTCGTAACTGTCTCAACAGAGACACGTTTTGAAGTGCCGGATATTTTGATGATAGCCGACGTTTTCCCTTAAGATGTAGCATCACATACAAGCACGGTGAAGAACTTGATATGAACGAAAGCGTTGTGCGTGCTTATTCTAGGAGTTCGCGCTACACGGGATATGCCTGGTGTTGTCTCTTAACACATCTTACCTCTCTGAAGACATCTCGAACTGACAGGAGGTAATACCGACGACATGTTTCGTATAAAACTAATTCACAAAACACAAACAACGGACATCCTAATGCAAGCCCACACACCGCGTTTAACTCTTAATTATAATCTGTGGACGGATTATTCGGGTTGCTTATTAACCGCTCATCACTCATCAAACGCCAGTGACTCAGCGCCCATCTGTGCACATGTCTACAAGTAAACAGATAACTTTAAGAAGCAATACAAAAAATACACGTGACATTCATTGTACGTCTTCACCCCATTCTACATACGCAGAAATCTACACCCTAATGTACGAATGTGTTTTGTAAAAATATTTTTGTGTGTGTGTTATGGGGGTCACGCATCTGCCTCATTACCCGAGATAATCGAGACTTTACTGGGCATGTATGAGTTTTATAAGTAACATCTTGAATGGCATGGGCTGTTTTTGTGTTTTCTTTTAAAGAGGGATCGTTTGTGTGCCATGTCGCTGGCTCTGAGGCCGGCCCCACGCGTCGGTCTGGTCTTCAGGAGCCAGTCGTTCGCAGGCTTCAGCTCGACGCGAGACAAGACACCCTGGTGAGACTGGCACTGGGCTCATAGAGGGGACACATCGCCCAGAACAGCATGCCCTCAACAACAAAGACCCGCATTGCTGCCTTCTGGATTTGAAGTTTTCGTGACTGCAAGGATCCATACTCTTGGTTCTTTCGGTAAAGTCACGACGGTAAAGAAAATAATGAATAAAAATAAAATAAAAGATAAAAATAAATAAAATAAAATCACGACGTTTCGATTGTAACACAAGCAATCATCATCAGGTGTGAACACCACAGCAAGAAATTTTGTACTGAAGTTGGAGAGATGCCGGGGTTAGCGGTTATTTTATTTTTATTTATTATTTTCTTCACCTACGTTACTGTACCGAAAGAACCAAGAGTATGGATCCTTGCAGTCACGAAAACTTCAAATCCAGAATGAACCACCTCGATGGGGAGGGATTCCACCTATCTGTTAGAGCTTTTAACAGACAACGGAACAAAAAAAAGCACAGCTAATCAAATCGCTAACTTTGGCATCTCTCCCACTTGAGTATAAATTGTCTTACTGTGGTGTTCACACCTGGTGATGATTGCTTGTGTTGCAATCGAAACGTCGCGATTTTATTTGATTTATTTTTATCTTTTATTTTTATTTTTTATTTTCTTTACCTACGCGACTTTACCGAAAGAACCAAGAGTATGGACCCGTACTGCTGTCTGATGATTTTTCTGGTTGAATTGCGCTTTGTTTTTCCGCATGGTGTCCTATGTTTTTCTCCACATGCTTGGAGCTTCTTGAGGTACTGACCTGAGCTAGTTCTATTTCTCCCTCGATGATTAAGTTCCAGCAGTGGCCAGCAATGCTTTATACTCGAGGGAGGAAAATGAGCGGCTCAAATCAGTCCTATAGAAGCACAAAGCATGTAGGGGCAAAATGTAGAACGTCATGCGTGATACAGGACAACCGCGAAAAAGCAATGCGATGTATGTCTGTTGGCAAAAACACATGCTAACATAATCATATGCACATAAAAAAACATGTGTATATGTTAGGTATAATAAAATGTCATGGAATAGAGGGAAGCAGTGTCAATATTATTCACTGATATCGTTAACGCGTGTGCATTAAGAGGACGGAAGAATGAGGGTAAATGTGAGATAAAACTACTTTATTCAAAGTCTTTTCTCACTTGTTGAAATGCTTTGATTTTCGTAACATGAATTACACTTTTTTACTGCAGCATTTGAATTTTGGTTCGATTTACATGCTATGGAGCCTCGCCAAAAATAACATGTCTCCTTCAATAATATGCGCTCCCCGCACGGTTGGCTATGTACGGTGCGAAAGAAGTTCAACATACATGTATTTATGTATAAGTTGAATGCACAGCATAGGGTCACTCCACGCCAGACTTACCTCATGATGAATCTAACCTATTTATTTCAAAACTGCCTTATGTGCTCTCAATGTCATGATTATTCATATCTTATTAGAGTAATAACTTACAGTCTTATGTCAGTCCACTGCTAGTTGAAGGCCTCTCGTGTGGATGCCAAACAAAATATATATATATTTTAATAATATCACTTTGTCCAACTATTAATACAATACATTATAAAAAATAATGGAAACATGATTAAAGAGGTCATAACAAACAACGGAAATACTAAACAGCAAAAAGAGAGTTGATAATTGGTAAATTGCAAATGTTCATAAAAGCCTTTAGTGAGCTAAAGGATACCATAAATTACGATACATAAAGAATCCTAAAACTAGTCAAGGAATTTTGTGCAGGTTCCCAAAGCAAAGAATATAATATACCACAGAAATATCATTTTTTTCAGATAAAGAGACAGATGTTCCAAATGTCACAGTTGAACCACTGCTCTTCACAGTATGATAAAGGGGGAAGCTCCTGAACCAGAATAATTATGGACATCATCATCAAAGATGTTTGATAGCAATGAGCAGACCTATTTACAAAATCTTTACACAGTAACGACATGCCTCTATAACAACGTGATGCCACAATAATTATATTTTAAAAGGGTGACAACATTTTTTGAAAACATACAGATCTATTTTCTCAATATCATCAATATAATATAAAAACTAATAATGGACATTGTATTGGCAAAATAAAAAGCCTATACCTATGGCAATTATTGAAGTTGAACCAGGGTCAAAATGATGAAATAAAGAGGCAAGAGCAGGTTGGAATTATTTTGAAAACCTAAATTTGATCATGAAAAAAAACATATCAATATACAAACATCAGAGAGTTTACAATCAGTGCATATGACCTGTTATATATAATGAATCAGTAACATGGACAATGACAAAGAAAATAGAGCAAAAAGTGAAATGTACACACACAACCGTGAAGAGATTCCTTCCTGTTTGAGAATTGGACTGAGACAGCATCAGAAACAGAGGGGTCAGAGAACAAACGTAAGCTAGAGACATCATACTCTTTGGGGTTTTTTTTCCGGTAAAAAATTAAAGAAATGAAAACAACTAAATTTTTAGTTGTAAAAAATAAATAAAAATAAATGAAAACAACTAAAATTAGTTGTTTTCATTTATTTTATTAGATGTTTTTACCTATGTGACTTTACCAGAAAAAAAAACCCAAAGAGTATGAATCCTTGCAGTCACGAAAGCTTCAAATCTAGAATTATAGACATCATATTGACTGTTTAGAAAAGTAAGTGGGCTTGGGTAGGACAATTGGCTCGAAGGGATGATGCCTGATGTACGCAGCCAAGGCAGGGAGCATGACCGAGAGGATGACCAACGCGGAGATAAAGCGAAGAAATTATCTCATGATGTGCAGGCGCGAGATGGATTTTAGCATCGCAAGACCGCGAGGGATGGTGACAATATGGGGAGACCTTCATGCAGCAGTGACCGATGTTATCCGTGACCAGGAATTTGACTCAGCATTCCAGGCTCAGAGTGCAGTGCACTAACCGCCACTGTTGCTCCCTGCGTGCTACAGCAGCGTGTATTTGTCAGCACGTTCCATGTAACTATACTGAATAGAGCAAAGAAACAGTCGCACAATGCTGCTGGATGGTATCACGATTGCCACAACGAAATCTAGGCACGCTAAAAAAATGTTAAATAATAACTCTATCGCTGAAATAAGTCATTGTTATACAACGGTCACACAGGTCTGGCTTTTAATAACAAATGGTCAATGTCCGGGAGCTTTCAACTGGATAAAAATAAAGAATTCTATTGATGCATAAATAATACATAGGCATGAGGGCAAATTGATTGTTTTAAACCAAAGGCTTGTACAAGGACTTACCACTTGAGATGCAGCTTATATATATATGTTACTGAATGTGCCTCTTATTGATTGTAAGAGGGAACGCTTGGCTGCATTGTGATTAAATTGTTAAATGTTTCATTGTGGGAAATAAATACAGTAGAAGATCATTTAGAATCATTTTTACGACATCTATATTTACTGTGAGATGAAGTGCATAGTTTTCAATTATGTTCTCACAGTTTAATTAGATTTGTGTGCTTTTGTGCTGATAACTCACAGCAGATAGCTACAATTATATTTAATGACTACTCAAACTTGCGCCAAATGAATCAGCACACGACGAAATATATTTAGTATTTAGTCTGAAGTTCATTCAATTACGGATCGCATTAACCTTGGAATGTACTGCTGATATTACAACGGGGAGGTCAGTGTGTATCTCAAAGTACATTGAAGTATCATCTCGTGTTTACGATTTACTGTTCAAGTGACGTGCCTCACACCCCTCCCTGCACAGCCCCATGGCTCGGTCGAAACAAGGCCACTAGGATATTTAGGCTAAGCGCAGCTTGTTTAGCATTCCAGTTGTTTGTGTTTATGTCGGGTCAAGCCACAGGAACAACCCAAGCACTTTACAAGCACAGCGTGCCCTCTTTAGAAATCACACGTAATGAGATTATTTAAAACTTCACTCGTCTCCGGCAGCGGTGTAACGCATTAAGTTAGCTGGTGCCCGGCTTTGTATCATAAAAAATCCTTCCCTATACTTATTTAATCACCACCCAGACCTGATGTCAAACACTCCATAGTTATTAACCTTGGTTATATCGATTTCGGTTTTTTTTATTTGATGTACAAATTGTAAACCTAAATCAACGTTAAGACGAATGTGCTTATGGATGCTGTGGCTGGAATTACCATATTATGTATTTGATTTATCACAGTGCTATACTATTGCATTTTAAAACAGTGTACATTTTTACGGGCCCCTCAAGATCATAGGCCTGGGCTGCAGCCTCTGAGGCGCTGGTGAAGCGTAGCGTACGAGAGCAATCAGCCCTCAAGTGGGCAGCTCTGAAACACGTCCGAGGGTTTTTCCCAATTGCCCTGCTCGCCCGAGAGCATAGCATCATGGAGAGCCTTGGCTCGTGTGCTATGCCAACGGTCACTCGGTGGTGCGCTGTCCAGGCCACGCTCGCCGTACGGCAGTACGCCTGTGCAGGCGCGCCGATCGCCGACCCGGAGCGTCAAGGGGTCATCCGCGTCGGGCAAGCCACCCGGAGGGGCCTTGCGAACACCACGGCCACAGCAAGCTGAGCACATCTACGTGTCACTGAGAAGAGGGCTCGGGTATGGCTGAAGTCAAGAATGGTGGCCTAAACAATACATAACCACAGCATTGTACATGTAAAGCCCCTTTGTTAATATTCAGCTAGATGAGGGCTGTCCCACGCCATGTCGGTCGTAGGGGTTATTTACACATGCTTTGCCATACTTGCCAGCGGGGCTTGGTGAAGGTCGGTAGAATAGATGCGGGAGCATATAATTGTGTTTTTGTAAATGTCAATGTAAGCTATCAATGGCATGGGGTATGTGGACGATTTACACATCAAACCAAGCTCAGGAAATCGAGATCCACATTCATGAACTTACTCAACCTGTATGGGATTAGGCAGTATATGCTTGGATATCGGAGGCAAAACATTAAAGCTGGGGACAATAGCCATATCTTATACGGTATCAGAAATATTATTGAGGCTAAAAGAAGTCTTTGGCAGATATGATGGAGGGAATACAGAAATCTTGGGCTATTAAGATGGAATAGAAATTAGCTGGAGAAAATAAGTGCCTTACACAGGCGGGAGGTGGGTGGATGGTGGCCGATGGGGAAAATGTAAATGTTCTCAGCTTCATTGCATATCATTGTCTTACAGTCAACTCCTGAAAGCTCATCACGATGAACTGGAAAGTCTGGTGGCCCAGCAGAAAGGAACCAAAAGAGACTCCAGAATGGTTTGACACCTCTGAGATACCATCTGTTTATGCCTTTTCTAATTTTCTTGATGCCATCAAAATAAAAATGCATACATATCCAAATAGTAAAATGTATTGTTTTAACTTGTTAAGATGAGTGGCTGAAGGCCACTTCATAGATTAAATAAAATAACACCGCTACATTATATAACACATAATAGTATATGATCTCTTTTTTTCACATGTTTACCAAAAACCCAGGCGTTTTTCTATGAACTGGACAAGGTATGTAAAAAAGTGATTTTCTGTGTGTGTTGGTAATAATGGCATCACCTCACAGCATGAAAGTAATGGTTGTTACAATATACACATGAAGCAAAAATGCTTGAGATAATTTTAACCAGGGTCACTGTTTTTTGCACAGGTTCTTGCTAACGGTTTCACCTCTCATTTTTCACCCACAGCAACTCCGAGCGACCCAGCGCTATCTCAGGCACCTAGAGTTTCACATAAGCAAGGTACGATCTCGTGCGTGGCTATGTAAATAAAAAATATCTTCAGGGGGCTCCCCAGTGCGTAATAAAATCTATAAACTGATAGTTTTTAAAGTTCAGCGTACAATGCTGCGCATGAATGTACTCTCGGAGGAAAAGTGGGAAAAAAGATGAAGGTCATTTTTCAGTTGAGCACAGTAAGCATTTAACAGTTTTGAAAGCACATCCCTCCCTCCTTTTTATTTTAACAGTTGTATGGAATTACCAAGTTTGGTGTGCTATGAAAGATCAATTCACAGAGATTCACAAACACAGCAGTCCCTATGCGGGGAATTCCACTACACACAGGCCCTCTGTGCACTGCCCGTTTTGACCCAAAAAGACATTCATTTCCAGATGGAGTGCAAACTGACTCGCCGTTATGCTACAAACACACACACATTTTTCAATATGGTTGGTGTGTGCTGATGCTGCGTTAGAAAGCAGCGATTTAAATTCGCAGCATGCTGGGTAAACAGCCAAACTGTAACTTGACCTCTCTCATACTCTTTGGTTCTTTCGGTAAAGTCACGTAGATAGAAAATTAATAGATCACGACGTTTCGATCACAACACAAATAATCGTCATCAGGTGTGTTGCGATCGAAACGTCGTGATCTATTAATTTTCTATCTACGTGACTTTACCGAAATAACCAAAGAGTATGGATTCCTGCAGTTACGAAAGCTTCAAATCAAGATTGACCTCTCTCACTTAATTACACTTAGTGAACTGACTTTACGTTTCAATACATCATACACTAATCAAGAATTTCGATTTAAAGCTTTCGTGACTGCAGGGATTCATCTTCTTGGTTATTTCGGTAAAGTCATGTAGAAGGGAAGTAATAAATCAAGAATTGTTAATCTCATGATAATATTGTTCTTTTGAATTATTCCCTTCTCATGGAACTACTAGTCTAAGGAAAATGTTGTGGATTGGTCAATTTTAAAATAATTGAACTAGAGCTTTAGGCCCATGCTCCAAAGTGTCATAACAAATTTTATACAACAATGGTAAGCCCAATTTTTTAAAAAGAAAAATACCACAATTTTCCTTCACATGCGCAGAATTTCCAGCTAACAGTTCCATCCGACATTTAAATGTTTTCGTCACTCTTTTCGGAAGCAGTTAATAATGTTCGTCTGTCATTTTATAGAAGAGTTGCTTGCTTGTTGAGCAACTCGATCTGTCATCCACAAATTCCAATCTCAAACGACATCATGGTTGTAAAAAAAAATCAGTGCCACTAAATAGGCATTTAATTGCTATTTAGTTCATGGATGTGAACATGTAGAGATCATACTTAATGGAGCGTTGTTGCAGTGGCTAGCACACTGCGTTATAAACTTAAGTACATGATTCCCACCCACGGCCAAGATGAGTGGCAAGTGATATCTAAACCAGTCCTGGGCCCCTCCTTTCATACACTCGCACGAACCAGCATGATGAAGTATGCTCCAACAACCCTACAACCCACACAGGGCGGGAAACACCTTCATCCAGCAGTGGTAATGAAACATTGCCACACCTGGGGAAATTAAGTAGAGTGGCAGACAGGCAATCAACAGCTATCTGACGCATTATCGGGTGGTATTGTGTCGTTTGGCATGATGTCCGACGTGTTGGCCTACGTGCTGCGAGTTGAATCCACCGTGTGTCCGCCCACTCTGCCTCCTTGCAGATAGAGGAACTGTACGAGAGCTACTGCATCCAGGGCCGGCTCAGGGATGGCGCGCGTAAGATGGTGGCGGCGTACCAGGCATCGCGGAACAGCCGTCTGGCGCGTGCCGCCCTGCTGGCAGTGGCACGAGAGCACCGCGACTACACCGAGGTATCGAGCACTGTCCTAAACTCGGCCCTCACAGCAGGAATGGGCAGCATTTGTATTAAAACAGAATCTAGCTGATTTTTATATATATGTACAATTAAGGATTCCGTATTGTTTCCATTTGTTAACAGTGCTAAAATGAGCCACACACTTTTAACAGTGTGTCCCATTGATCAAAAGTGACATTTTCATTATTTTTAATTACATTCGATATTTGGGATCTCTATCACATTTCAGGTTATTGGCCTACAGCGCAGTTTTTTTTTCCAGGGCGACAGCCAGGCAGCAGTGCGTTCATGACAGTTACCCGTGTGTTGGGTTGGGATGGTCTCAGTATTTTAAAAAATAAAAAATGGTCCCCATTCTTTCTCAGAGTCTATGCATGTTGGAAAATGAGCTGGAGAAGCTCCTGGGAGAGTTTCACATTCAGATGAAAGGTACGGTTGCACCTTATTTCCCGGAATATTAAGGTTTTATAAAGTGTTCGTAGAATCGTCTTTAGGTTGATGAGTCCTTTTTTTCTCTTGCTCTCTTCACGGCAGGTTTAGCAGGTTTTGCGCGGCTGTGTCCAGGAGATCAGTATGAGGTGAGCCACAGCACCTTCCGCTAACTGTGACAGCATTCAAACATTGACTTGGCACAATGTGCCTTTGGCGATATTCCACGGGTGAAAATACAGTATTGCATATCACTACTGTTGTGCTGAATATGCAATGTTGAAATGTGATCAAACACAACAAATAACACGAAATAATTCAGCACTTTGTCCAGGGCTTTTACAACTAACATTTGGCAAATCATTATACATTGCATTGCCAAGCTGCTACAAATGCAGGACAGCGTTCACACTCGTCTGACAGTGTGAGCAGTGAATCTGTGCTGTGGTACCAACTCGAGCGTGCACGGCGGTGTGTGTGGGCGAGAAGGTGGTGGTGCGGTACGGGCGGCAGCGCTGGAAGATGCGCGGGCGCATTGATTCGGCAGACGAGCAGCGCTGGGACGGCACGGAGGCCGTGCTGTCGGCCCTCCTCGCTGAACCCCTCTACGTGCGGGTCAGACTGGACCTTCCCACCGAAACTCTATAAAACTAAACCCATCCACATCATCCTCGTCAGTACTGAGCTGCATACCTCCGATTACTGAGCTGCATATTATGCAGCTCAGTAATCGGAGGTGTGGGGGAAGGACAACACATTCAGAGACAAAATGCAGTTCTAACGAAATGAGTTTTTAATCTAGATTTAAAAGTGCATAGCTCCAGTGGCTTCCTAATATCGGAAGGAAGAATGTTCTAGACGGCTGCAGAAGTGCAACCGAAAGCGCGCGATGCGGTGACCATCTTTGTTCGATGGCTAGCCAAAAGCTCCTGCTAGAATGACCGGAGTTCACGTGATGGTTTATGCTCCTTGACTAGATCAGCAAGGTATTGTGGTTCATTTGTGGCAAGCATTTTGTGTGTAATGAGTGTGACCTTAAAAGGAGAGCGATGGCGCAGTGGTAAGAGGGCGGCACTCCGAACTCAGCGACCCGAGTTTAATTCTCGGCCACGGTTAACGATAGCGGCGAGTGATATATGAGCCGGTCCAGACCACTCCCTTCACCAGAGCAGCATGGTGCAATTCTGGTCAATACAACCCCCCTTGACCAACACTGTGTGGGGAGGCTTTCATCCAGCATTGGACTGAGAAATCGCGGCCAATTATTATTGAGCGTTTTGTATGTATGTTGAACTTCTTTCGTACCCTACATAGCCAACCGTGCTATTGGGAGGTGTGTATTATAGCAGCCGTCGTTGCTATAAAGCGGTGGTGTAGAACCTGATAACCAGTGGCAAGTGGTATCTGAGCTTGTCCTGTTCCTCTTCTGGGATGACTCAGCCCAGAAGAGGAACAGGGGGTCGTGCATTGTCCTGGCCATACCACCCCCCCTCATGTTCCGTGCTGGACTTCACAGGTGCTCATTAACAACACTTGCACCAATGATCTATTGGGGCTATATGGGGGATCTTTGTATTTTTCTCCATGCACATGTGTTTATGTGTATGTCGGCATTTAGTACTATACTCATGCAAAAAATATAGTTGGCAAATGATGCACTGGCACCAAATAGTTGATAAATGTGATGATAAAACCCTCCCTGGCTGTAATGCCACTTTTCACGAAGCAGCGCTTGTTACTTTCCACGCGTCTGTCTGGATTTTGTGCACAGGTGACGGAGCTGAGAGGCCTGGCAAGCCACACGCTTGTGGGCAGCGTTGCCTGCGAGACGGGCAGCTTGTTTGCTGCAGGCACCCGCATCGTGGCGCTGGACATAAACTCACTGGGAACCATAAAACTCCATCTGGAGGTGACCTGGAAGTGAGTTAATTGCACTCCGGATTTTATGAGTAAAACAGGTGCAAAAGTTGAAATTCTCTTTACATTTTCAATTGATTCATAAATTGTGGTACAAACATATAACAAAAAATAATTTGGTATCGTGCACATTTCTGGCCTATGATCAAACCACACAGAATGCATCCGATCTCGTGATATTTCTGGAGCTATGCAGGTTTGTGCCTGATGAGTGCTTGGATGGGCGAACAATGCGCGCATAACAGGTTAATATAGGTGGCTGCGGGACTGCACGAGGGCAGCAGAGGGCATTACAGAAAAATCAATTGTTGCACTAGACATTCTTGATTTGAAGCTTTCGTGACTGCAGGAATCTATACCCTTTGGTTCTTTCGGTAAAGTTACGTAGGTAGAAAATAAAAAAAATCACGACGTTTCAGCAGTTCCACTACTATTTTTTCGCCTGAGGACGACCGCTTGTGTTGCGATCGAAACGTCGTGATTTATTTTATTTTATACTTACTTGACTTTACCGAAAGAACCAAAAAGTATGCACTATACATGTTGTGCTGCCACGTCTATTCTTCCCACCTATAAAGAGATGGGGGAGTGTATCCAAATAAGCCTCAACAACCCACACGGTGTGGGGAGGCCCTCATTCAACAATCGTATCTATGCATGTTGAACTTATTTATTTTCACTGTACATAGCCAACCGTGCTACTCGGAGGTGCGGGGGAAGGAAAACTAATTTAAACACAAACAAGCAGTTCTAAAGAAATTCGTTTTCAATCTAGGTGATTTAAAAGTGCATAGCTCCAGTGGCTTACTAATATTGGAAGAGAGTTTTCAAGACGGCCACAGAAGCACATCTGAAAGCATGTGATGAGGTGACCGCCTTTTTTTAATGGTTAGCCAAAAGCCGCTGTGAGGATGACGGGAGTTCGCGTGATGGTTTATGCTCCTTGACGAGATCAGCAAGGTATTTTGGTCCGTTTTCTGGCACCTTTTGTAAAGTCAGTTAACATGAAGGGCTGTACGTGTGCACGTATGCATCTAAGCAAAGCCGTATGTCCTGCGGTGAATGTGTTCTGCCGCGACGCGACCCACAGTCCATTCGACAAGGACGAGGCGGCGATGACCCCGCTGACGGTGGGGAAGCTGTCCGCCAACGCGCGCCGGCGAGCGCTGTGCTATGGACAGAGCCCCCCTGCCACTCCCTCGCTCCACGTGAGTCAGGGACGGCCGAGCCAAGAACAGAAGCACCATTTTATAACAGTGGTAATTTAGTTCTGCGGAAACAGGGGACAGTAGATCGCTATCTGGAGACAGTATTAATGTCATAAACTGTCCTTTAAGTATGGCATACGTTTTTTCCTTTGTACTGTAATATTCTTTTAATTTGAAAATTTTAATCACATCTATTTAAAGCAACATAATTTAAAGCTTTTAATTGCAACATGCTGTTTGTGATGATTTTTGTAATCACAGTGATTTGAAAGATGATGGTAACAATGATGAAGATAAATTACTTTCACAAATCATACATTTAATAATCCACATAAGAGTGTATGCATAAGAACCAAGCTCTAATATTCTTGATTGATGCCTGGAGTTTCTACTCTGCATATCACTTAATTGTGTGTGTAATCCGTGTGTGGGGGGTGGGCTTGGTTGCTGTAGCAGGCGGTTTTGTGCAGAACGGAGCTTCAGCCCACTTTGTCCTCCGCCTCTTGCATTTACCACCGGGTAAATGGGCAAGCTCGCCGGCCTCGGATACCAAACTACCAACCTCCAATGCCGGACGACTCCTCCCAGCCTTCCACTGATCACGTGGGAGAACCAGACGAGGACTTGAGATCATTGCCACATACCGCTTCGAACAAGGTATCGTCTACTGAGGCCCTTTCCGGGGATTCGTCTTCGTCATCGGAGGAAGAGAAAGACATCGTGGTGGCCCTTCGCAGCCACAATCGGCCACCTGTCCACCATGGCATTTGGCCCAACAGCCGGGCACTGAGCCTCATCAGCGAGTGCAGCGTGGACTCATTCACAGACACTGGAGCCACCGACGAGCTGCTAGTGAAGCTGTGCAGCATTGCAGACACGGTCACGCTGGAGATGACGGAGCAAACGGTGCGTCCTCCGGGCAACGCTCTCGCGGAGGCCCGGCGTTCACAGTATGAAGAGATTTCAACAAACTTTATCGCACCAGAGCTTGAAGGCAACTCAGTGCAACCTATTTTGTGGAGCGGCGACATCGACGCCATTGCTGAATGTGCTGGCAAAGCTGGAGTAGCAAGGTCAGCAGGCGATAACGTGGAATCAGAAAGAACACACATCGAAGAAGACCCACTTATAGAGAATATGGGCCCTGTCAATATGTCAGAGACAAGTCAGAGCAAGCGATGGCACTTACGCACCTCCAGCCTTACACCTGAGATTCCACATTCTGACCTAATGTCAAACGTGTTGCATATACATTCGACAGAGTCAACTCCCACCAACAGTCTGTCGCGGACTTCTGCGGGCAATTCCATCCGCCCGATGAAATTAAACTCCGCAATGGGTGACTTGGGCCTTGCCACAAAAGCGGTAACTAAGCCTAGCCACTTGGTTGAATCTCAGAGAGGAGGACCTCTACTCGGTGTGGGAAAGCACCATGGCGAGTCCTGCAGTCTTAACGTAGCGTGGATGAACCTCCGCACTGCCCTCAATACCTGCAGAGGGAAATTCAGCGCACTGGACGAATTGGAGCAAGAGGTGACGCACTTGGGACGCCTCTTGCAGGTTAGATTTAACTCAGATGTCTCAACATTTGCAGTCTTCATGCCCACATGGTTTTCCTTACCTGTCAAACGGAGCAACATTCATTGTCCACTCACAAAATCTTCATCTATAAGTAACACGTCTTATCTTATCCCGTGATTAAATTAACCGGAATGTGCCCGATCTCGTCAGATCTCGGAAGCTGAGCATGTTTATAGCCTAAATAGTTCTTGAATGGGCAACTGCCATGCACAAACAGGTTGTTGTAGGTTGCTGCGGAGACTCATTTTCTGGAAGCAGTGGGAAGTGCAGCAAAATCCATTGTTGCACTGTACTCTATTCTCCCGTATCTATGTTCCCCGCCTTCATCGACCTGCACTCACCAGCGTGGTGAAGAATGGTAAATTATCCCTCACAGTAACATGGTGGGTGGAGGCCATTATTCAGCAGGGTATTGGGGAAAATTTTTTCGATTGATTATACTTACATCATCAACTAAACGTTTGCATTACAAACAGACAGCGTTATAACTGTGTAGGTATCCGCAGTTATGCTGTGTGGCTTTCCCATGGGTTTTTGGGCTGTACCGCTTGTTGTTTGGCATGATAACTGACGTTTCGCTCCACGTGCTGCCTGAAGGAGCTCTCAGCAGATGAAGTTAAATATCAGACATCATGCCCCACAACACGCGGTACAACCCAATAGCACACATCGGAAGAGCCAAGCAGACAGAGACGAATGGTGCTGTTGTGCGGCACCATTCCGCTGTCTCAGCTGGTGCTGCTGTGTGTCTGCAGGCTCCGAGCACGCCTGCCGAGCCCGAGAGCAGAGGAGGTTCCAGCTCCAGCCTGACGTTGGAGCAGGTCCTGGAGAGCTTCAGCTTCCTGAATGCCTGGGAGCAGGACGACATCTGCATGGATACGCAGCCTCAGCCAGGGTGGATACATGCCGCTTTTTAATTGTTTCTCCCAGGATGGGATAAACAGCACTGCTATGATAGTCATTAAATACAACAGGTACCGTGTATAACACTCTCTGTTGTCTTTGTTTCAGGTGTGGCAATAATAAAGTTAAAGATACAGGAAATATCGACTCGGTTCCATTAACAACTGGAAACAAGAGTCTGGATTGTTCCCTCGCACAACATCTTTGTCATTGCACAAATCTTCTGCAGGTAGGTCCAGCGCGAATGCAATATCTATCATCACCCTGACCTGAACTGCAGTCTTTATATCACCCACTGCAGGGTTTTGGCTCGGCGATCCACAGACTTGTTTTGCTACTGTGGGTACATTGAGTCCCGGCTCGGTTTTTGTGAAAATGCCATTTGACCACTGTTGTTGCCTTTTATGGTTTATGTGACACAAATGCATCCATCGGAAATGTGCGTACTTTCTCCAACCAAGTGGGAATGATACAATGGTGAGCTTGTTCCCCCATTTCGCTTTTGTTCCCTGCCCTTGACTGCAGACTGGATGCTCATTGTCCCAAATGCCGACCGTACCCTAAAAAAGCATCAAGGTTCTTGTACACTAGTCCAGAGATGGCAACAGTGTGGAAAAATATTTTAAATGAACGTATGTAAATATCACGAGAAGTCATCCTACATGGGAATAGATATTCTCCCAGTTCTATGTAAATGTAATTTACGTAAAAATGGGTGCCCTTACAAATATATTAAAATAACCCCAAGTAATTCAAAAATAAAGTACTTTAACATGTGAATGTGTACTTGACTTTAACATTGATATTGTATTCCATAATATAACATCTAAATAACTGGAAATAAAAGCCAAGCCTACATGTGAAAATAACGCAAGTGTTATCGGAGTGAGGCATTGGATCTCGGCTTCGTCCAATCATTCGGTGACCGTGTGCCCGCTTGCTCTTTTCAGCAAGGGGGCTCGCTCGGGCCACTGCACTGTGGCGACGGGCGCACGCTGACTCGGCTCCGGGAGCAGGTTGGCGTGCTGCGCCAGGTGTCTCAGGTGATGTGCGAGAACCCTGGGGGCATAGCCCAGTTATCGCTGATGTACGGACAGCCGGACGTCACCATGGATCCGTGTGGCATGGACATTCAGAAGCTCGTGGCAGAGCTGTGTTCAAAGCTGGACTCTAACATCCATCAAGGTGCGTGTTACCCACTCTCCCTAAAGTATTAAGCACTCTCCCTAAAGTATTAAGCAATATAAGCATTAAGCTAAGGCTTTGACTCAACCACAGGCATCATCACATACAGTGCTTTGCCCTCTGGCGCTTCCCACTGAAGGCGCTGTTGATGCAGCTATCCTCCATCTCCTTTGCACTGTAAATATTTACACATTAATACAGAAATTTAGCGGCGGAAATTTACTTCTGTAGCTACACTGTAGCACTCCCCAATGACAGCGTTGATAGGGCATCTGTTTGTCTTCTCTTTGGTGTAAATATTTAAAGATTATTTTAATGTTTAAATATTCGGCTACGGACATGACATATCACTCCTCTGTGTCCTGCATATGTGTTGGCTCGCATCTGAGTGCACAAAATCTTATCCCATGCTTTACTCCCACCCACAGTGCTACGGCCGGATGCCAGAGACTGCACACAAGCGGAGCGGGGTGGGGAGGCGAGGTGGAACCAGATGGACTTGACGGAACTCCGGACAGTATTGTAGTGCCACTGAGTGTCAATGCCCACGCAGCGTTGCCACGGTCCAGTTGCCATCCTGAACTGTGACAGCAATCCACACCCCCGTGGACACAACACGCCAGATGAAACGCCCTGCTGGTTGTCTAAAATACCGCAATCTATTTCCCTAGTGAAGTTATTGTGAGTGTATTGCTGTTATGTCACCCTTTGCATTGCATATCTCAGAATAAGCGGTAAATTTGTGTCAATAATTTAGCTTGGCTTGGGTAGATATTTGCTAAACCTACTCAAACCAAACTTTAACTAATCCCATGCTTTCTAAATATGCACTGTGTACAAATATGTGTACTTCAGTTGAATAATGTGCAACAAGTGTTATCAGTGACATATGATTTAAGTATATTAAACGCTTGGAAAAACATTTATCAATAATTTATACCATGTTTCTAAAGTCATTGGAGATAAGAGTAGAATCGCATGTTAACCATGACTTTACTACAGCTGCTATTTATGGAATGTCTGTGCTCATAAAAAATATGACAAAACATTAAAAAAATATTTATTTGCTTAAAAATGTGCCTTTAAATTCTGTTACACAAGATCCAATGTGTATACCATGTCTTAAAAATAAAACAGCCATCTAATATGTATTCAAGGAATGTAAGATAATGGTTTTGATTTCTATAATTATTTCACTTGTGAAATATTCCATTTCCAACATCTGTCAAAACGTATAAAATATCTGTTGGATTTGAGATTGGACCAGTTTAATTAAATCTCCATGAAAACGAATTAATCGAGAGTTAGGTTCTCGTTAACACCTGATTATGCTGGATGTTAATTTGCCCCTATGACGTGATTAAATTGGCTCTCTCGTGTGATGGTTATAGTTGAAACTTACACTATATCTACACTAACTCAAAATAAACTAATTATAAATAATAATATTGGTCGGGAAAGCCTCCACATGAACTCAAAAGCAATTTTTGTATTTAATTATTGTTTTTGCTTGATACTTAATAATTCGCAGTCTGCTACTCATAGTAAAGCACCTTTATATATTATTATTCTTCAAGCTTACATGGTTAGAAATTCGTGGTCAATTTACCCGCTGTGACTGGAGAAGTCAACTAACACTGGATAGTGCCAGTTTCTTTTATGTTCAGTCCCTGTGGAAGCTTCTTCAAAGCAGGTGTGGGTTTACATCTTCGCCTCTGGGGGTCCTATTGGCTCCCAGGTCACTCTCTAAATAGCTGCACTAAAAATACTGAGCGGGTGGAGCTGCGAATGTATTTATTCTTCGTGAAAATCATACTGTACATATCTGTTGAGTACTACTTAAATAATTGCATCAAAAGCTACTTAATCAGTGGATGACGTATACGTCCATTGCTAAATACGGTACGGCAAATTACACTTCGTAGGTTTTTGCCGTTTTCCTGTACTGTGCAGTTCTTTTTCGATGTGTTGTCGGGTTGTACCGCGTTTTGTTCGACATGTTAGATGTTTGGCTCGGAGAGCTAGACAGCGAATTGTGTCGTGAATACTGGATATCCCATGATCGAGATAAAACGTACGACAAAAATAAACTACCAAGATTGTACATATTGTCCTCCATTAGACGTCGGTTCGAGGCCTCATCAGCCCTGACATGCGGTCTTTTCTGCCATATTTCGTCTTGACAAGCACCCCTTTGTCTATTTTTGGACAAACAGCTATCACAACAATTGCTTCCTTGTGACATGAGCAAGGCTGCGTGGTCTTGGCAGGCCAGAATTAATTTGCCTCTGGGTATTGTATGCAAACTTGAGTTAATTGCGTTGCACGTGGAGTGCATTTAACAAGCTTCATATTAATTAGTGCACAGCTCTCTTGGGGACTTGCACAGCTCAAAATACTTTTGTTTAGGACAAATAGTAACATCTGCAGGATTGGTTTGGGGATAATGTATCGGACCACGTGAAAGCACGTGAACATTCTTCAAGTAAAGCAAAGATCTGTGATTTTGAATGACACATTATCTTTACGTTATATAATTGTTTAAATAACAAAAAAAACTGAACAATGGCTTGATTGAAGAGGTGGCAGAAGATGTAAGCTCAATTTGCTGATGGAGTTAAATTAACTCAATTCAAATTAATTCGAGTAAAAATATGTTACCGCACATTATCAGGGCAAATATATAATAACCTCACTACATTTAATGTTGTAGAATCAATGACAAAAACGTGTCAACTTAATACAAACAACTGACAATAAACACCGTCATTCGGGCCATTGTGACGTCAGGCGCCGCCATCTTGGTGGCTAATAGCCCGTGACCACCAAGATGGAGCTTCTATTCACGTATGACGATATTAGCCATGGCTAACAATATAATGTGCCATATGAAGGTTGAGATCGATTGTAAACGCGTCTCGCGATCTCACCCGCGCTTATGCTGCCCCCTGTCGCATTGAATTCTCAGAATTTGCTTCGGTTTTTTTGTCGTGACAACCGCAGTGGGGGCCGTTACGTGACTCGCACGCGCGCAGTGGCGTCGCAGTGTCAACACGAGGGTACGGTACGAGGAGCCTAAGGGGCCGTCCATAAATGACGTCACGCGATTTTGAACGATTTTTGACCCCCCCCCCCCTCCTCGTCACACGGCGTCACAAAAAGTCAGACCCCCCCCTCAAATATGACGTCACAAAGCTCTGCCCCCCACCCCCCCCCCCCAAAAATAAAACATGCTTCAAATCGCTTTAAAATATTGTCATTGTAGCTCGTATTTAATGTGGCTCTGCACTCTGATGTTGTAGGAGAAAACATTTATTAAAGAGTATATTTAATTAAGTAGAACGTGTTGTCTATATTTAAAGTTGCGCATTTTGATGTGACGTCACATTTCTCAACCCCCCCCCCTCGTCACACATCGTCACAAATGTCTGACCCCCCCCAGGTGCGTGACGTAATTTATGGATGGCCCCTAAGTTGCTCGTGCTGTGTTGTTTTCGCAACCATTGTTGCGTTTGTAGAGTAACTTTCGTTGCAATATTCACAGCGCGTTACCGCAGTGCAGCGAAGCTTCCCTGCTCTGGTTAAACGCGGATGCGAATCATCGCGGAGGTGAAGGGCGACTGGGCAGGGGTGGAGTGGGGGTTCCCATGCGGGGTGAGTGAGCCCGGTTCTACCTGCTCGACCTGGCTCATTTATCCACTCCTCACATCCTTCCCTTCCTCCCAAGTATGCGTCCTCCTGTACATCATATCGCATCTACTGTGTCGCTCCATCATCTCATCACTCCTCGCAGTGCATCTCCATCCGTTCCTCATTTGGCATCTTCCGCTCCCCATCCCTCGTCACCTCAACCTCCTTTACATCCTCGCATTCCCGGTAAAATCCTCTCTTCTTCATCCTCCCATCCTACTTCTCGTTCGCACTTCTCAGTGGCGTATCTAATCGAGTGTGCAGGCGGTACAACTGCGCCGGGCACCACGCCGGGCTATGCAGGGATGGATGGGGGCTGTGGGATTGGAAACTGCATTGGCAGTGGTGCACGCGCGCGCAAATGACGACCATTAAACGCAATCACAGTAACTGCCTTAAAAGGGGGGGAACAAATATATAATAACATCGGACCTTTTTTCCCAGTGTCAAAGTATGAAAAAGTAACAATATATGTTGTACCCTTTCTGGCAATAAAAAAGGTGTTAAGATGTTCAAACACCAGGTAGAAACCTTTTACAAGGAATGGTGTCTGCATTAACCACACGTACTTGTGGTGAACATGCAAATAAAACATGCTCTGATAATTAAATATGGCATTGTTTTTAAACTGATTGGCCTACACCAGAGACAGCCTTGTTCTTCATGGCCGAATCTCACCAAGTGTCGGACCAGAGAACAGCACTTGAGTCCTGGCAAAATGATTATATTTGGTGTTTGAACATCTTAACACCTGTTTCATTGCCAGAATGGGTCAAATACATAATAGGCGACGGTTCGGACAATGGCCCTTCACAACACAATTGATTAAATTCCATTCTAGGCAAAAGAAACTATGTACATATGCTGCACACAGTTATACTGTACTAGCTATGGTGCCTCGTTTAGCGCGAAGGGTGGATGTCCGATGCGTCATTTTGTTGCCACCCGCCTATCTATAATAAATATAATCTAGCTCTGCTTTTCCAAACTCTTTGCAGTTGTATTATTGTGCACTTTTATTGAGGGACTGTGTGTTATCTTGGTGTGGTCTGGGACTGTTTTGCTGCCTTGCCCAAGGTTGGCAAGTGATGTTCACTTCTGTAATTTGAACATATATATCTATTTTATACATTTATTTTTCGTGATTTACTTACCTTTCCTAAAACTTTGCACTCATATCGTTTTTCTATTCTTGTAACTTTCTAACCCGCCCCTACTGGACATCTGTGCAGAAAAAAGAGCTTCACAGCTCATCGGATTTCTGCAGTAAAGATTCTGATCCGAATTGCAATGGCGAGCGAGGAGGGTGCGGGCCAGAGGTCGCAAACGGGTTTTGATTCCTTACCCGTACCCGGCCGCACCAGGGTCGCAAATGGGTACCCGTATCCGGCCAGGTACGGGTACCCGTTCCCTACCCGTACCCTACCCGAAATGAGTGACAAACGGTTACTCACCAGTGACTCACGGCCTACCCGTACCCGGCCGCACCAGGGTCGCAAACGGCCCCCCGTACCCGGCCGGGTACGGGTAGCCGGGTATCGGGTAGGGTACGGGTATCAGGTACCCGGTTGCGACCTCTGGTGCGGGCTTCTGTGGCGCCCTCTGCTGGGAAGATCTCGGGGGACGAGGCGGGTGGCCAGTGGAGTCAGAGCCCCACCCCATCACCACCATCATCATCATCCCGAGAGCACAGCCGCAGGTGGATTTCGTTTTATCTCGCAGCCATGTGGCACCACCAGGATTACAACGCTTATTAAATTACATTTGATTCTATCGCCCCCGATAAATACATCCTAAATCTTGGGTGGGTGGAAGGAAGAATCAATTATTTTATATCCATAAAATTGTACATTGATTTAAAAAAGAATCGTTGGTTTATTTAAAGTTTGAATAATACTATTTTGTTATTCTTGGTTCTTTCGGTAAAGTTACGTAGAAGGGAAATAATAATAAAAATAAAACAATTACATTCTCACGACGACTTTACCGAAAGAACCAAGAATATGAATCCCTGCAGACACGAAACTTTAAATCGAAATTTAATACTATTTTGTTAACTTATTTGGAAAATGCAAAATCAAATGCAGCTTACGTAGCTATCGCTTTCGATACTCCCATATAAGCTAAATTAGCACATGAGACACTGGTAATGATTCCAAACAAACGATGCAGTGCTTTTAATAGGTTATGTACATTTGGATACTCATTAAGTTTTGTTGTACATTGGGTTGGCCGTTGTCTGCAGGTGAGCGGCCATTCGAGTGCTTCAAGATGCACGCGATGCGTACACACACACGCGGATGATGTGCCTAAGTAGCCCTGCCCTCACTGCGACACTGTCGTCGCAAATAGGAGGTTCGAAGCTTTCACTTTTAAAGCGCACGCCCCAAATGACCCAGCAAACAAAAGCACTGTTAAAATCCCATCTCTGCCCAGGTGTCCGTCTACGCAAGCCGGATGCAGTTGCTGATGAATCCTTGAGGTGTCGTTTCTGTGACGTCTCCTTTCATGAGTGGCGAGCGTTGAAGGAGCAACAGCGCACGCACAAGAATGAGAAGCGACTATGTCTGCAAGCCGGTAATACACTGCACCAAGTGTATTTGCCTACCTAAACAATTGCAGTATAATTAAATGTTTGACCCGCTTCTCAAAAGCAACGTTTCAAATTCTAAGTACAATGTATCTTTCATGGCTTCGGGGATCCAACATACTCTCTGTGTTGGTCTCAGGAGAGGCACATGGTCATGCACAAGCACGTGCACACGGGAGGGAAGCACGTCATGTGATTTCTCTGCTTTAAGGCTTTCCAGCAAAAGCAGCGTCTGTCTTTCCACCTCAAGAGCTGCCATAGCCCCAGCTGTGTGCCCACAAGCTACAAGTGTCACCATAACGTCAGCCGGAGAGTAAGATAATGCACACATGCGTTATTAAACTTGCATGCATTGATCTTAAAGATGAAAATAACTCTCAAAATAGTGCCTGTGTATTGCGACTTATGAATGCTCTTGCTCTGCCTTGGTATGTCTCATCACAGTTCGCAATGAAGAAGCACGGTAAGGAGTGTATTTGGGAAACTTACGTCGAAAAGAAGAGAACAAAAGTGCAGAGTGGCCTAGCAGCATAAGTGTACATGCATGGAAAACGTATGCATCTCATGAAGACAATGCTAATTGCCTATTTTTATATCTATTTGGGACCACACTAATTAATTAACAGGTGTGATGTACCTAAATAACCAATTGCCTTGTTATTGATGTACATTATTCAAGCACTATCCTGGGGCGCCACGGTGGCAAGATGTTAACTACCTCGCCTGGTATACAGGAGGACGTGGGGTTGAACCCAACCTTGACACCTGCTGTATATTTGGAGTTTGCATATTCTCCCCCTGATTATGTGGATTTTTTTCGCCAGTTCCTCCAGTTTTTACCTCCATATGTAGAAACATACGTCTTGAGTATTTGTCTGTTATAAATTTCCACGTGATAAGCTACTTCGTTGAGATATGATTTGTGGCCAGGTCGCTTACGAAAAAGCAATATATATGTTTTGTAGTTTAATCCACCCAAAGCCAATGCAGCCAGCCTTCATAATTGAATAACAGTAGCTCTACGGTACTTAATTCCATTTTTGATGTGAATAATTTAATGTTGATTTTGATTATTATGCATATTTGTAAGTTAAGAGAGTCGCACAACAGTCTGAATCGTTTTGCTTTATTGTGGTAGGCTGTTAATTGCAATGGGTGTTTAATTGCAGTGTGATTACAGGCAAAGCTGTTGAACATAGAATTGTACATTAATGGGATAATGATGGAAACAGCTAAGACTGAGCCCAGTGATTGTGGGTATGGGCAGGGAGGAGAATAAATGTGTAAGTGCAAATCATAAATCAGATCGGTTACATATCACCCCAAACTAATGTATTTTCAAAACAGTTTGAGCTAGAATTTCAAAGGATAGTCGTTACAAATTGTTGATATCTTAGTCTGATAATAAACTGCCATACGTAACTTAACATTTGTATGAGCCATTATGAAGATGTCGTTTTCACTTGACTGCGTAGTTTTAAATTGCAATGCGTATACTGTGTAAGCATAATTAATTCCAAACACCATACTACTTTTCTTAACATTGATAATTTATCATTGCACAGAACAGAGAGCATGTGTGATTAAATATGCATTGCATAGCATTATGTAAATGCATTGTTTTTTCAACAATATGAGCTTTCAGAATACGATGTAATGTTGATAGACTTTTAACGTACTTAATTTGACTGTGTAAATGGAATGTGACTAAAATATGCCTCACCCATTTGTAATGAGGTCAGTGTATATTGTGTGTGCATATTTTACATGATGCGCAGCACATTTTCACATTTGAAATCGTGTTGTTAAATAGAAATTCACAGCTGTGAACATTCAACTATAAATGTGCACATTGAGGTAACATAAGTTATTGAATTATGTTAGTAAATGTGCATCGTAAATGCAGGTTGTGCAATACTAAATTCACGAATAACTACAATCCTGCAGTTTCTGTGTGCATTTAATAATTAAGGAAATTCATTAATGTTTAAAATTGGCTTGCTAGGGCCCTATGGTTATTGTATAAATATTCTGCATTGAACATTGTGGCAGTACAAACTATTCTATGATATTAAACAAGCCGACCAAGCTTGGTGTATAAGTTAAACAAATGTGTACGGTATGCTCTCGAAAGTTGTTAATACGTTTAGGTTTAAGCATGCAATGGTTGCCTTTCCCAAGTTTGAGCAGTCAATTTGTTTTCATTTCTGAACAACAGCATGGTGCATTTAAGTGGTCATATGAAAGAGAAACGTCATAAATGAATGCAAGCTGTTTATGAACATTCCAGGGATTTACGGAAATTAATCAATTGTGTTATCTTATAAAATGATCGTGGCATTTGGCTGCTTTGAGCATAGTGTGCAGTTCGAATGCAATACACAAATTACAGTCCCCAATTGACATCATTGCTAAAATAAATTGCACAGTTGCAGGTGTAATATTGCATTCTCACTTAATCGTTTCATTAGCACAAATGGCTCTTACAGCTGCAAACAATGTGCACACAATTAGCACCCATTTCATTTGAATGTGTTATTGAAGTCAAAGTGTTTGGAAACATGGTTTAGTGAAATATACCGCGTAAAAAAGTATCCCACTGAACACCAGGATAAATATTTACATGGCTATTTAAAAAGTATTTAAGATGTTGTAGGCAATGGTGGAAACACATTTTCCGGCGGGTGCATTTCCTCGACCAGCTTTGTGTGTTCTCGTACGCTTTCATATTTTTAGTTGTAAAACAAATTATCCAGGACAAAGAGCACAAAGCGAATTAGCGTTAAATGGGGTAGCGATAAGCGACGGTCAGGCAGACCTCTCAGTTGAAAATTGGTAATGCATTATGAGACCTCCTTTGCCAGTAGCAAGATATAATAATAGGGTTTTACCCATTATCTGGCAACAAAACTGACACCTTTATACAAGGGATCATGTTTGCATTAACCACAACACTTGCGGTAAAAATGCAAACAAAAAGACAACTCTGATAATGTATGTACTGTGCACTGTGCATACATTATCAGAGTTGTCTTCTCAGATAAAAGGGTAAAAACCTATTACAATTGGTAATGCGTGAAAGTGGCCAACAGGGGGTTTTAAGCTGACAGGTCGCAGTGTGGGCATGGAATGAATGGTATCGTGATACCTAACTGATTCCCATACACCTAAAATGAGAATCGATGGCGATTATAAATGTAAATGTACTATTTTTGAAGTAGGGTTGCTGGCATGTGTTAGGGTGGCAGGAATGTATGTGTTAAGATCTGGTGGTATTGGACTTAATATTACAGTGTACTGCATAGTTTTGATCGACCTATTAAACTACCCCAAACTTAATAATCGTTTACCATATTGTAAGAGGCTAGGTGGCTCAGGAAGCCGACACGTTATTAGAGCACTGAACACGCTTTAATGAAATGTACCGTACTAGTAATGGAAGAACTCCACAACTCCATGAAGTGGCCCCGAAGCTTGCCATAAGGGGCCGTGGTGATGAACAGCCAACGTGAGTTGAGCGTGGACAATTAGACCTAAGCCGAAACATAACATATAAAAAGATGGTTTAAACATATATTTGTTCTTTTTAATGATATAATATAGTATTGTCATCAGTAAGACATAAGTATACGAAGTTTGCAGTCGATACCACATTGGGAAGTGTGTTAAAATTGAGTTACAAGATTTGAGGATACGACAACAACAGACAGTGAGTTAATTAAAAGCGTGTAATATAGCTCCATAGATTAGTCGCAGACATTTGAGATTTTGATCTAATTTATTTCATTGTGGGTTGTCTAAATAATTTTTGCATTGAACATGATGTGCTGCACCCCGTTGATGATCTCATAAAACATCTTTAACGTTCACTTAAATTGCTTTGTATGACAAACTGGAGAAAGTACACGTGTGGGTTTATTGAATCAACTCATCAGCCTCAAGATGACACCATTGACAAAGGGGCTTATTGTACAAAGCACTTTGGTGTGTAATGTATGAGTTAATTTCATCGCGTGTATGTTCAAACGAGCCAGGAAATATCACTATGCACTATGTACGAGTCATTTGAGCCCACAGCAACATTGTATTTATCCTAGATTTGAAGCTTTCGTGACTACAAGGATTCATATTCTTAGGTTTTTTCCGGTAAAGTCACGTAGGTAAAAAATGTATAAAAGTAAAATAAAAATAAAATAAAAATCACGACGTTTCGGATGCAACACAAGCTTCCGTCTTCAGGTGGAACCGTCACAGCACGATAGCTGTATCAAGTGACTTTACCGAAAAAAACCTAAGAATATTGTATTTATCCATAATACAGGATTTGGGGGGGGGGGGGGGTTTAGATCGCGTAAATATAAATGTATCGTTAAACCCGCCACCACCTAACCCCCAAATTTTTTTAAAATTATGAATAATATCAGTCGCGAAAGCCTACGGGTCAAATCAAATCGTATTGATTATGTGTTTATTACTGACTTGCCCATTTAACAACAGCGCCGTCCTAGAGTAGACCGCGTGCGCCCCTCGTCGTGGCAACGCGAAAGATGAGCGCCCACATTGGCTCGCGCGGCCACGTTCCGCGCGAACCAATCAGCGCGCGCCATACAACAAAGAGGCCCCGTCGGAGTTTAAAGGAGCAGCGCGCGTGGCCGATTGACATCACCCACATTTTAGCGATTTAATTTCGCTTCCCGCAAACGTTTCAATCTATGCGCGGTATTCCACCTAGATTTGTTTTGTTCGTCACTGCTTCGTCGTATCCGGAGGGCGAGATATATGCGTGTTAAAAGATAACGATTGCACGGCGAATGCGCGCTTGCTGCTGTCCGTGGCGGCTTAAATTTGCGTCGCTGCTGCTGCTGCCGTGTTAATGGGAGGCTAGCGTCCATAATGGCTCGATTGATGGGTTTCTTTTATTGTTTATAAACTCGTCAGTTTGCAAAGTACGAAATGTTCGGCATTTGCTACGTTGGTGCCGCGTGGGGTTTGCTCCATCCGCTGAATCGCACTCGTGTCATTGCACTGCCAATGTTCGCCTCCATAATTCAATTAATTAAAAAAAAATGTATGCGCCCAATAATGTAGTTTGGTTAATTTAATATGAAACTTTGTATCAAATATGAAATGTTGCTTCGTGCAGTGCATATGTATTGTATTCTCTGTAGTGTATTCTCGCAAAATAAGCGTTATATGAATTGCCTGCATACGTACTACTACTTAACGTAGTGTTGACACCGGATTTGCCGTGTAATCATTAAAATCTCAATATATACTGTATTTAATATTTTAACTATACAAATGTAGCAGTTTCGTGTTGATCTAATGACACCTCAGTGATGCACGATTTCAGTTAGGAAGTCGTCAACGGTGCAAGCAATTCACAAAGCTTCACGTTGATGTATAAACCATTGCAATTTCTTAACTAAGCTCCAACTTTCCATTCCCAGGGGTGATTTGGAACGTGTGTCCCCTCCCCCTGTTGAAGTGCCCGCGGAAAGAGGTCGTGGCAAAGCATGCGGACGGAAAGGCTTATCACCATGATGGTAATTACTGCGTTGCGTTATTTAACACGTGTGCTATATGCACACTGTGCATGTATCGGCCGTGTTTTGCCAATTCACTGTTGGATGATGGTTTCTCCAAGCCGTGCCGGTCGTGGGGGTGATTTGAATATTCATCACCAAGCGTGGTCAGTGCGAGTCGGTCAAGCATTCATGTATCGTGTAGCAATCCAACAAGTAAAGTGGTTTTCTACTCAAGGGGTTTGGGCACTCAGCTCCTGTTTACATCATTGAGCCAGTGGTGGAAATTACACATTGCCGGGCATCCACAGTGCGTGAATCTCATTACAAAATAAAAGCACCGCCACTTTTCTAATACTATTCTATAATTCATCACCGGCCATGATCTATACACCGATGTATGAAAGGCATTGCTAAGTTGTTTACATCTCTCAGATTTGTGATGCCACAATTAATCCCGCTCCTAAACTGCCTTACAACAAGTTCAAACGAATGAAAGCCACCCCTCCTTCACCTTTCACCACCGTATAAATATACTGTATGTACATTTATGCAATGTGTACAAATAGAGTCATGCATTTGCCCTACACCTAGCCCGAATGTTGATCTAGTGCCCATTTAAGTTTCGTCCTAGCTGTAAACCATCCTGTGAACTGAAACCTCGTCATTTTGACATGACCGAGCCGACTAACGCGGCAGGGAATTCATTAGTTAATATTAATTTACGTTTGCGCAATATTTAGGATTTCTCATGTGACACAGTTGTTTCTGCTGATTTATATTTTCTGTACTTTATTTGTTTAGCTTTTGTAATTTTGGTGACCCAGGCCACATGCAAATGAGATTATCCTGGTCCCTTGGGTTCTCACCTGGTTAAATAAATAAACTTGCTTATGGGTACAAATTATTCCACAGGACAACTATTAAACGCATAGAAAAGTATAAAATTGTATGGAAGGAGTGTTATTCTTGCATTGTAATGTATATACCCATCTTGTCTTAGCATAAGGACTTGGGGAGATGATGGAGGAGCAGTCGATGACCAGGAGATTTGCTCATGTCCCCACCAAGGGTGGTCGTCTGCACCACCTTACATGAGCGCAGTCAGGGATTTTAGGTGTATGCGGTGCTCTTTAGTGCGGATGGCTGGTAATACTGGGATCGATATTCATGAGGTAAGGTTACACTATAAACTGTTGAATATCCTTTTACATTTGCCATATTTGCTCTTTAAAAAACTTCACTGTGCATTGAAAAAAATACATGTGTAAGATGCATCATGTATACATATTGTGAGTTCAAAAATAATAATTTTCAATGGCTTGTCTTCTGTTCTCCATAAAGAAAATGAGTGAGGAAGAAATGGTACCGGTGGCTGACCATCGTCAAGAAATGGTGGATGATCAGCTATGTGAAATGGGTGAAGATCAGCCATGTGCGACTGGGGAAGATCAATCATGTGAAATGATGGAGGCTCAACCCAGTGGAATGGTGGAAAACCTCCCATCTAGAGAAGCCGATGATCAATCACGGATTACAGCAGACACTAAGTCCTGTGTCACAGCAGATGATCAAGCACAAAGTGTAGAACATCAACCACATGTTGTACCAGGTAAAATACCTGCTATAGTGAAGGATCTGTCATGTGAAATGGGAGACAATCTGCCTTGCGAGATGGAGGAATGTGAATCTTCAGAGGGTGAGCCATCTAAAGTAGCATATGATGAACAATGCGACATATCTGAGGATCGGCCACAAGTAATGGTGGAGGATCCACAATCGGCAATTGTGAAGGCTCTGCCGTGTGACAAAGAGGCAGTTCAACCTGACAAAGTCGATCAGCCACAAGACACAGATGAACATCATTCATCTCCAGCAGCAAAGGATCAGTTGCGTATAACGGTTGAAGACCAGCCCTGTGGGATGGGGGACGATAAAACAGGTGGAATGAAGGAAACTCATACAGGCAGCACAAATGATCCACCCTTTGCAGAAAAAAATGACAAAGAATGTGGAATTGCAGATAGTCACCCTTGTGAGGTGCAGCAGAAGCAGGCACCGGCAAGTGTTGTGGTGGAAGATCAGTCTTGTGTGGCAGTTACTGATCAACCATGTCAAGTGGTTGAGGAGCAGCAGTGCTCGGTAAAGGAGGAAAAGCCTGACACTGAAACACCTAGGACAACTACAGCAAAACCTGATAGTGCAGACCTATGGACCCTGGACAATGCAGCAGATGTAATTGATATAAGCTCTGGCTCTGAGGAAGTGGATGACGATGTTCTGGAGGTGATTGACCTCTCCTCAGGCTCTGAGGAAGAAGTAGAAGAGGATGAGGAAGAGGACGAACAGGAAGAGGAGCACTCTCTGTCAGATGAGGACCCAGCACCCGAGCAGCTCTATGAATTGGAGTGGACGCGCACACTGCAGGTGAAGAGTTACTCTAAGTTGTTGAGTGAGGAGATCATTTTCGCACTTCACAGTAAAATCAAGATAGGGGTAAAACTGATATTACATTTTATGAATTACTCTTTGCTGCATTCGGTAAACTTTAATACACTCGGTCTTTGCTGTGTTGTAAAATGTAATGTGACAACTTTTTTTCCTGTGTGGGGCAACACAATCCATCAATAGCCAGATGCGGTGCAGTTGGAAGAGTTCCAGGGCAGCCCAGGCCCCGTGCATGCGCTCCCAGCCGGTTCTCAACCTCTCGACTACTTCAAGCTCTTCCTAACAGACGAAATGCTGGACCGGATCGTGACCGAGACCAATCGGCATGCGGCTCGCTGTGGGGCCAACATGCACCTGACAGGCCCTGGGCCAGGCTCTGTGTCGGGTGAGGGAAGGCCCGTGACGCGGTCCTCACTCTCCACCTTCCTGGGGGTTGTGCTCATCATGGGCATCAATATGCTGCCAGCACTACCATACCACTGGGCAGACGATGACTCCCTGGGAAACCAGTTTATCCGCCGCTCCATATCCCACAAGAGGTTCAGGGAAATTTTGAGGTAGCTGCTTTGTTGCAAAAGAGCTGTTAGAATATTGCACTCCAGTTTTGGCCAATGGGTGTGTTTGTGGTTTATTTACTGTTTCCATCTTTTTCCATTTTTCTGCAAAGGTACCTCCACATTAGCGATGATGAAAAAGCACCAAGCAGAGGACGGATCGGCTATGACCCACTGCACAAGATCCGCCCACTGCTTGACCACCTGCTGGGGGCCTTCTCTCGCCACTTTGTTCCATTCCGAGACATGCGCCTCGACGAGGTGCTCAGCAAGTTCAAGGATCGGCATGATGCGCTGCCATGTGTGCCCGCCAACCCCATCCGCTGCGGCGTCAAGGTCTTCATCTGCTCATGCGCGTCCACAGGCTACGTGCACTCGCTGCTCGTGCACGCCGGAGGCCACGATATCGTCGTCGCTGGGGGTCTGTGGCGCCGACGCAACAAAAGCTTCCCCCTAGGATACAGAGCTGCCATGCGTCTGACGGAGCGCCTGCACGGGTTCCACCACCACGTGTATTTCGGAAAATTGTTTGGCAGCGCGCGACTGCTCTCTGACTTTCTCCAGCGTGGCACATACGGGTGCGGCTTGGTACGACCCAACAGCCGTGGCTTCCCCAAGGAGTTACGTGACTCGCGGCTGCAGCCCGGAGACACCAAGTTCCGGCAGAGCGGGCAGCTGGTAGCCTGCATCCACAAAGCCAACACCGAAAACATGGCCATCATTGCCTCCAACTCCCGGCCAGAATCAGAGCGTATGCAAAGGAGGTTCCACAATTATGACGTTGAGGGAAGCCAAAAGCCGCATCCGTTGCTCAACTACAACATGTGCATGGGCAAAGTGGACATCGCCAGCCAGCTGCAAACCTGGTTCGAATTGGGCCGCGAGGGGCGCAAGTGGTGGAAGTACATGTTTTTTTTCCTTCTCAACACTGCCGTGGTGAACTCCTACATCCTCTACAGGCTGAGCAACATGCCGCAGCCCCGCAACGCCATGAGCCAGCTGGAGTTCCGCTTGCTTTTGGCCAAGCAGCTGGTGGGAGGGGTGGACGTGCGCAAGGGCCCAGGCTTGCGGAGGGTCGGCAGGGCTCGTGGTGGTGGTGGTGGCGGTAGCAGCGGCGGACAAAACCGCCGCTGTATAGAGCGTGTGCTGTGGCCAGCACCCAGCGTGAGCCCCCAGCAGCATGCCTGCGTCAAGTTCGCGGGGCGCAAGCGCGTGTGTGTCCTGTGTAGCAGCCGCAACAAGAGAACTCGGCGCGGGCGCAGTGTGCAAACCAGCTACGGCTGCCAGATCTGCAACGTGAACCTCTGCCAAGTCGGCTGCTTCACCGGCTACCACAGCAAGGAACAGCTCGCTGGCAGCAGGGCATTGCGGCGTCCGTAAGCACTGCAGGAAACAAAGCATTTGGCAAGCCCTTGTATCGTTACCACAAATCAGTTGATTTAGTAGCCCACAGAATAATGCCGTTTATGCTACAACCAACACACAAACTATAACTGCCTTACAGGCTGCCGGAATGGCGACTGGATAGGCTGGTGGTTTTCACACTTGCCAATTAGCCAAATAGCCACTCCACATGTAATTTCATAATTTCCTGTCCTGTGCGCAGTCGCAGAGGTCGAGGCGGGAGCCAACCAAGGAGTGTGGCGCGCCGGGGCCCCCGCACCAGGGAGCAGGGCTGCCAGGCAAACCTGGAGGACGACCCAGCACATGACATCAAGAATGAGCCCTGCGATCAAGGCATGCCATGCCTGTTATTATTTGGACCGAGATTACTTCTGGAATTCCAGTGTACGGTGGCAGTGTTCCTGTCTACCCCGATTGCCTTGGAGAATGTTTGATCTAACCATGTTCAAACATAACCTACTGATGAGAAAATGCACCCGATCTCGCCAGATCTCGGAATCTAAGCAGGTTTGAGCCCGGGTAATACTTTTAAGTGGGGCCATCATGTACAAAAGGTGTGGGTTTGTGTCATGGGCAGCAGAGGGCAGTGCAGCAGTGCATAAAAATCCATTGTTGGATTACTGCCATATCTATGCCCCCTGCCTTCACCAGCTCAAACTGACCTGGGTCTTGAAACGTGGTCAAATAACCCCCATGATCCACATGGCACAGGAGGCCCTCATTCAGCAGTAGATTGACAAAATGTGAAATATACCTTCATTCATGTTACATGATAAAGTAAATCGCTATGAAACTGGAGTGTTTCATATAGTTTCCCGCACCTCCGATTAGCATGGTTGGCTATGTACGGTGCGAAAGAAGCTTAACATACATGCAATAAAGAAATTAATTCAAAAACCACTTTGTGAAACCTGTTCAGCTGGCGTTAGTTTTAACGAGCCAAAGGATGGCAGTCCAATCCAGAAATATTCCATCGAGGGAAAATGCATGTTTGCTTTTGCCAGCACTTATTAAATGTTGCACCAATTCCTGTGCAGCAATGGGACCTTGTTTTTTTGGTTTAGGGATGATGGATGGCAGTGCAGAGGAGAGAGTGCCTGTGTCAATGGAGGGCTGGGAGGGGCCCAAACTGGAGCCAGAAGAAACAGAACTTGCACAGTCTAGCAGTGAGCCCTCCTCAAACCACGCATTACCAGGTAAGACAGACCCTTGGGGATGCAACCTCTTTAGAATGAATTGATAGTCCTTTACCGTGCTGTGTATTCAATGGAAATTTTACTTAATGTTTATTTCATGTCTTGTTTAGGTACACTGGTATGTTGCATTTCATATTTCACCATTTTGATCCTGGTCCACTTTCAGTAATTTCCTGAGATATACATACTCTTTAGTGTTTTCCAGCATTGGTTTCCCATTTGTTAAGTCAAAGCTGGACATGACTTTTGTTTTGCTATTTATCTTCAGCCTCACTTCGTAGCCTCAAGTTATTCATAATTTTATTTCATTACTATCCGTTATGACTCATCAGTGAATCTGAAATGGTCATCTTACAGCAGTGTGGGATTTGTACAAATCTGCATGATCCACCAACATTTTCTTCCAGATTTGAAGTTTTCGTGACTGCATGTGCAACCATACCCAACACTTAGTTCTTGTTCAGCTATTCACAATCATAATGTGTTTATACTGGATGAGTTCAATGAGCTATAATGCTATTTTTCACAGATGCACCATGATTGTCTTTCAGATAAACTTGTTGAAGACTGATTTGGAGAACGTCACCCAATCAAAGCAGAAGGAACCTATCCATCGATGAAAAAGATAGCCACTTATTGATTGCACTTTAAAACATTACACAAAAATTAAATGGAGCTGATGTCAGCTTTTTCTTGTAAGCGTGCAGTCTAAATGACAGACGTTAATTCGAAGTATACCCATAAAAGATGGTTTTATCTTTTCCTAGTTCTTAAAACAATATATAGCCTTAAAAGGTACTCTATCTACATATAATAATTTAAGGCTGTAAACGCTAGTTATTTTATTATTTTATTTCAGTAGTCACTTAAACGCTTTTGTATTTTTCTCAAAGTACACTCAAAGACATTACCTCTGGCCGAAGACTAAGTACAGCAAATTGCTGTGTCAATAATACTGTTCCCACAGAAAATGTTTTTGTCGATGAGAGCGAGTCCTTGATTTTAAAGGCTATTTTATAGCACATTGTATTAACATGCCATTTGTAATAAATGTAGTTTGTATCAAGTAGGGTTTTCCTGTTAATGTCTCACTGGTGTAGTGCTGTCACCACTTTAAATAGTAATGATCCACTACTAAGTATTAGTAATGTGTATAGATATGCCTTGTGCATTATTATTTATTCTAGACACGAGTACAGTATTGGCCAAGGCTGTCTAGGGGAATTATCCCAGATGTTCTTAGAGATGTGCACTTTCCATCAAGGGTCATAGTGTTTACTTCCTCTTACTAACAATTCCAGGATTCTAGTGGCAACAAAAGAAAAGTAGAAACCTGAGACTTTAAGCACCTTAGGTGTACTACTGGAAGAGCATGCACAGCTTTTTATTTACTCCAGTTTCTCTCTACGTGTCAAATTTAGTTTTGTGAAAGTCACGTGAAAAATAAATATAGGTGAAATACTGTCATTGCATTTTGTTGGGACATTTATTTTGTTAAATGTGAATGGTGGAAATATTTGAAAAACATTCTGCAACACTACATTGGTTTGTTGCAACTCTAGTTCAATTCCATCCACCATATCCAATGAGGGCCACTCACTGATCGACTTGACCTAAAAATAATACTCAATGAGGCCTCGAATCGCTACATTTAGTTCCGAGTGTGGCAACTGGGCGTGGTGCCTGCCACATCACATCCCTGGCAGGGCCAAGAAAAAACACCCATACTTTTGCTATGGTTATTCACACTTTCAATACAGGCCCTTTTATTCCTTTTTTCAGACTCAAGGCGTTTATAGAATCAAATACAGCTTGCACAAAATGTTCACGTAATCAAATAACATTCCGTTTACCTCCCAAAAAGGTACGAATGCAAATAAACCTTATTAATGGCCTTTTTAACACAGGTGATCATTGCCATTACACTGCTATTGCAGGATGTCACTAACCTAAGCTAAATGACAGGGTGTATAAAACTCCACCAACAGCGATACGCTGCAGCCAACAAACTTGGGCTGCATTTCAGTTTCAAATCTATTATAAAAGCATTTACTTATCTTTGCTAGTTTTTATCGATGTATATTACACAAATGACTTCGATCATCATTAGGCCATATACCATTATATTTTATACAAGTCAGAATATAATTGTTCATAGCATAGCAATGCTGGACAGTATATACAATTGTGTACAAATTCTACATTATATCTACAATGTCACAAAACATTTTGATTATTCACATAGTGGAGGTTTACTTGACAAAGAGCAAGTGTGTTAAAGCAAAGAGTGCATTTCATCATCCACGACAAGTAATGGAAACCCAGATGAATGACACTTTTCCATCCACCGCCTCGCCCTGTCTGCTTCCTGTTAACATGCATTAGCAACGTTAAGTGTTGACACCAGTGTGCCACTGGTTGGGGGAAGAAAAACCTAATTGTGCATGCACATACCTTTTAGGGCACTCATCAGTCTTGCTGAGAGTGCACCCACATTAAAGTTGCACTTATATATCCCTTAGCAGAAAAACATCAACGTAGCCAATTGAGGTCGCTGCCAATACAAATGTCCGTGCTTAGGCAAGCAGCTGCCCCCCCGCTTACTGCGTGACAGCCAGCTCCTTCTTGAGGGCCCCGTCGACAATCAGCAAGCACTGGAGTGCAAGCTGCTGGCACTCGCGGTCGGGCTCACTCTCCATCATGTCTTCGAGCCAGGCCCGGGTCTCTGTGGCCTCCCCGAGCAGTTCGGCCTCAACACAGACGCTCGGCACAGCTGCTGTGGCCATTGCCAGGCAGAAGAGCAGGCCGCGGCGCACAATAGGGTCGCTGTGGTAACGCAGGGCCCAAAGGAAGTCCAGCAGCGTCTTGGCCATGCGTGGAGCTAGCGGGGCGCATGAGGCAGCGTGCATTATTGCGCCCAGCGTGTGCAGCAAGCGCGCCAACACCATGTGATCCTCGCCGAGCAAGTCAAACGTATCCTGGTTTGGGATTCAGAAAGCAATAGGTTAAGTGTGTACTATTCGGTCATTCAACAGTGATGTGCCAGCAAGCAATTCCGTGTGTCCCTGGGGAAATAAATTAGGAATGGAAGACTCAACTGCCAATTCCACAATTGACAGGAAGAAAACAGAGGCCGTCTCTTCTTTAAAGCGGTGGGGGTTGTCGAATGGCCCTTGAAACAACAGATTTCTCAGAATACAATGGTGTTGTGTTTGTAGCATTTCTCATTCTGTAATATACCCCTGGAGACTGTAAACATGTGTGCATTCCTGTGTATTAAACTTGTTCGTGCGTATTTTTTTTTGTCGTACATTATTTTGTCAATCCCTTTTTGGGTGAACACCTCACGTCATGCAGCCGGGGGGATTATTTTACCATACTTCACCACGTTGTTCAATGTGAGTTGGTGACGGTAGGGAGCATATATGTGGGAACATACATATACAATGCAACGATGGATTATTCTGTTTTAAATCAAACCTGTCAAAATTAAATATGAATTGTTCAAAATCATCTTGCTGACAGTATTACACATCCCAAGCTCTACCATGCATCACAAACCTCCTACAGACCAAACAATCCAACATATCTCTTTGCCCTTCTACCCAAACACTCCTCTGCCCACCAAAACCCAACTATAAAACTGTGGGAGACACAGGTGATTATCATTTGCAGTACACCTATATAATAATCTCTAAGACAATAATACACTCAATCGACTCCATCACTATATTCAAATTACAACAAACATCTCTATACGCTCGCTTACAACAATTAACTTACAACCATATGACTTACACGATGTCAATCATGGGGAGGATGGTGGTTGAGAATTATTCTAAGAACTAAAAAATAGTTTCGTGCTTTAAAAAAAGAAAAATGATACTTTCAAAAATAAATGATTAATATTTGTTCGATGTAACGGCGCTTTGGCAAATCAACGTTTTAAAGGTGCCAGAGTAATTACAATAAAAATGTACTTGGCTAAAATAAATAATGGTTCGGTTTTACAAAAGGTCATTAGGCATATTTTTACATTCATACTTCGTTGAAAGGGGTGTAAATAACCTTCACATGTCCTTACCAGCTTGTTATCATAGTTCCTAATCAGTGGAAAGAAAAAATTGCCAGCAACTGCAGCAAAGTTATTCGGGGCAGCTGTGGGCTCTGGAGCCCGTGGACTGGCGAACCGCTTGGTCTTGCTGTCAATACGCCGTCGCACGATCTCAGTCCAGTGGGTCGGCAGGGAGGGGTCGGGTAGAGTTGGCCCGCCCTCTGTAATCTCGGAGACATGCGCTGGACGCGCAGCTTTAACAGCAGCCAGCGTCACCTGCGAGAGCTCCTGTGCCGTCAAAACAAGGGTGTCCAACATGTCCATGCGCTGCCGGAGGTTGTAGTTCGGCCCGTAGAACTCGGCAGTGAGGTAACTGGCCACCCTGGCTGGGTCCGTGGCAGTCGCTGCCACCATAGCCCTTTGACGCAAACTTTGGAAGTTCTTGATGCTGCAGAGTTCCTCCAAGTGTAGGAGGATTTTTACAAGTTCTACGCTGACTTCCTTTGTGGAAGTGGCGTCACCCCTGATTAACGACTCGGCAGCCATCAGCGCGGCTTCCAACTTATCCGGTTTTTCTGATGCAAGCAGACCCTCCATGCAATCTCGGATGTAATGTGGCTTTTTAAGTTTGGGCATGTCATCATCATCGTCGTCATCAGACATGTCATAAGGCACCAGGTCATCATCACTGTCAAGGTCCTCATCTTCAACTGCTGGCTTTTTTTCAGTCCAAGATTTGTCCTCCTTGCTTCCCTTCATTTCTGGGTTGTGTTGATCTTTACCGTATTGATCCTGAGAAATCTTTTCCACAATGGCAGCATGGGAATGCATCTTCGCTTCATTCTGCTCTGGTTCTGGATTTAAAAGTGATTTGAGATGCACAGTTTCCTCATCCTCTTCATACTCAAATTTCAGCTGGTGACCCGCTGGCTCCAGGACAGATGTAATACTCTCAGCTGTTATCATGCCTAGTCGTCTGACCGATACGATGTTACTCTCAAGGTGACACTTGACACCACCCATCATCAAACTCAATAATGTATGCTTGTGCTTTTTTTTGTCCTGTTCATTCAGCAGTCCTAAGCAAATTAGGATGGCTTGAGTGATGTAGGCATGCTGTTCATAGGAAGTATGCTTCACAGAGCTGGCATTGCTCCAGGTGTCAAGGAGTGTTTTTAATGCTTCAATCAACAAAGCTCTTCTGCTGGCTTCATCCGCGAGATACCCCAAAATATTTCTTAAAATGTGCGTCTTGTCGTATCTGAGCAAGAGCATCTTCTGTGTGAGTAAGTAACGCAACTTTGGATTTTTGAGCACAAGGTCCCCCAAGAGCCAGGACAGGACTGTGTGCCTCGGTGCCAAGCGGACAAGGCCCAACATCACGCTCTCACTCCAGCGGTCCGGCACATTCTCCAGCAATCGGTAGCCAATCCTCCGCCACAGAAAGTCCATCTCAACGAGGGAGGTTAGGCGAGGCATCAGCGAGCCCCACACGGTCTCCGCGTGACCCTGTGTGCACGCCTTTCCCAGCACAGCAGAGATGAACTTCAGCGAGCAGTCACGTCCATCTCTAAGCGCCGCACAAACCCTCTCAAGGGCGGCAAACGTTTCCGTTGCTAGCAGCTCGAAGTATCGCACAGGCCTGAACATTTCTCTGTTGCTTAGCTTGAGTTTGTTGGCTGCCAAGTCAGGCAAGGCAACCATCTTCCCGAGCAATATCTCCTGCGTGACGCTGCTCTCGCACAGGCTCCCAGGCTGCTCCACGCAGCTGCGAAACATCAACTCGGCCAGGCGACCCTGGCGTAGGAAGGTCTCCAGCAGGGACACGCATTTGTCAAGGCGACTTGATGCCTCTAACCCGGCCAGAGCGGCCAGTAGAGCCAGCAGAGCCTGGTCGGGCGGGCCACAGAGCAGCGCTGCGTCCACCAGGCTGCGCTGCTGCTCAAAGCGCAGAGCGGACAGCCAGTCGGCGCTCAGCTGGCCCAGCAGAACCTCCACGAAGCGGGCATAGTAGAGCTCTTCAAACTGGTCCCGTCGCGAGCTCGAGGTGTGGAGGAAGGATGTGAGGAGCTCGAGGGAGCTCCGTGCCTCTCCACCATCCCCGGCTGCCGCGAGCGTGGCGAGAGCCTGACGCACGTCCAGCGCGTCTCCAGCCTCCATGTTCACTCCTCAGATCCTGCTCACCGTCAACACAAGTGGATTTGGATCAATCGCATTAATTTAAGACACGAGACTTGCTCTTTTTCAAAACAGCAATAAAGTGTGGGAATGATGTGCTTTGTTCAAGAGATGGATGCTGTATGTTTATTTTGTCAAATTGCAAGTATCCGTATGTTTTTTTCGGACAAATAAATGGCTGTTGAGTTCATAGACCTGTGGACATTTGTTTTGCAAGTTAAACCATTGTGCGTGTGCTTTGAGTTCCACTGACATGTGAAGCGAGTTAACAATGTTGAATTGCGTCCGCTGTATATTATTGCTCTGTGTAATGCCGCCAAACTCGAAATATTGGTGGCAATTCCACATTCTGTTAAGCAGCAGAAATCCAACAATCCGTGTTGATAGGTGGGACAGGAAAGGCGCCACGTGTAAACACAAATTGACTATCAGACGAGAGCGCATTGAAACTACATGTAACAATTTAAGGCCTTGTGTCCACTGTATGTATTGCTTTCTACGAATTTACTACATGTAGCTGTATGCAAAGCATTGTAATTTGTTCAGAAACGCGTTCTATTTACCTATATTTATTTTACCAGGTAAAGCTCACAAACGATAGCTCAGCGCAGTGGCTTAAAGTGTGATTCTAAATGTGGAGGGGAAACCCGGACAATCTTACATGCAAACTCCAAACACACAGGTGTCAGGGCCGGGATCGAACCCACGACCTCCTGTATACCAGGCGAGGTAGTCAACATCTCGCCACCGTGGCGACTGTATAGTATGCATAGCGAACGTGTCGCCCTGTATGCAGTTGATTGCAGTACAATCCCACGTGCAATTTTAAAGCCTAAACAACAAACACCATCTTGGGCAGTCACGGGGCACTGGTCATCTCCACAGGCGGCCCTGAGACAGTGGTGGAAATTTCACCTTATGACGAGCAGCAGTAATGTTAAACAGAGCTATATTTTGTACTGGCGTTATATGACGAGTCCGATCTCGTCGGATCTGTGAAGCTAAGCAGGTTCGAGTCTCGATGGTGCTTGGAATAAGAAATTATCGGTAGTACCAGCGTGGTCAAATAACCCCCATTCAGCAGTAGATTAACACACAGGAGGACGCACACCTAAATATAGGACAAATGTGGCCATGTATACAAATGTGTGGGCTATTGAGAAGAGTAACAGCGTCCCTCTGGGGGCCCTCTCATCTCCGTTGGCAACACCGAGTCGGGGCGGCGTCCATTCCACATTCACGTGGCAGGTTCCAGTAGACCCACAACAACGTAGAACAAGCGCTCGACCACCACACCAACAAATAATCAAAACCCCGCAAATTAAGGGAGAAAGAAAATAGAAATAAACGTGCAGAATGAGGCGAGCAAGTCATTCTTACAGCGAGAAGATCGAGGTTTATGATGAAGCGTTCGTGGCGCTCATACCGCGTTGCGGCTCCTCTTCACTTCCGGGTCACCGCGAGGGCACGCCCACTGCTACGTCACGCCCACTGCTACGTCACGCTGCAAGGACGACCACCACCTCCACCACCCACCCCCACCCCCACCACCCCCCCCATCACCGCCCCCACCCCCCCACCACCCCCCCACCACCCCCCACCACCCCCACCACCACCCCCACCAACACCCCCCCCACCCCCCACCCCCCCCACCACCACCAACACCACCACCACCCCCACCACCCCCACCACCCCCCCCGTCACCGCCCCCACCCCCCCACCACCCCCCCACCACCCTCACCATCACCCCCACCAACACCACCCCCACCACCACCCCCCCACCACACCCCCCACCACCACCCTCACCACCCCCACCAACACCCCCACCACCCCCACCACCACCTCCACCACCCCCCCCACCAACACCCCCACCACCCCCACCACCACCCCCACCACCCCCACCACCAACACCCCCACCAACACCCCCACCACCCCCCCCACCACCACCCCCACCACCACCCCCACCACCCCACCACCCCCACCACCACCACCCACCACCACCCCCACCACCAACACCCCCACCAACACCCCTACCACCACCCCCCCCCCACCACCCCCCCCCCCCCCCCACCACGACAATCAAACTCTGGGCCCGGTTTTGACATGCAAGTGACTCGTCAGAAGAAAACTCAACAAAGTCGTAAATTCGAATTATCCTCGTAAATAACTGCCTTAAAAGGAAGTTAAGTATGATATATAATAGGCGATATTTATTCAAAGCTCATCTAATTGCAATGAAATTAAGCCTAGGCATGCATCACTAAGTGAATTGTAAGAATGCATGATTGCTGAACTTCTTTCACACCATACGTAAGCCAACCGTGCTAATCGCAGGTGCGATACATTTTCTTATTGAGTTTACGATAATAGGTCCGACATAATGCAATGTACCAGCAACATTTATAATTTTCTATTTAATCCAAATTAGCTTACTTAGTGGTACTCTTTGGGAATTGAATGGCTTGTCTGTTATTCAATAGCTACAAATAAGATATTTTTCATTATTAAATTTAAAAACTCTTTATCGGGAACCATTTAAACATTTACTAAATTCTTATGAAGCGCAATCTCAAAATCTCATCCACTCAATCTCGCTTGCAAAACTAGTTTTATTTATGTGCTATAAATAAGGACCATTGTCTGAAACGTCACCTATTATGTGCTTACTTTAATCCCACATTATTATTTACGAATGTGTTACGTTTTTTAATTATTATTTAGACTTATGCACGTGTGGTGAAACAATCCTTATGAAGGTATTGCATCATGTATAAAGGCATTGAGGGGCGACGTGGTATAACGGATGTGGCACCACAAAAGGGAATGACAGGAATGAGACTCCCGACTCGTGGTGCTGAATTGTTGTTGTAACATTCCGACCTACCTCAACTGGACATCTGTGAAAAAAAGCGTAATAGCTCATCGGATTCCGCGAGTCATCTCACACATTCCTGCGGAGGGAGCTGGTAGGAACGTTGGGTTGCTCGGTCAATGGCCAGGGTCAACGGCGGCGTGGTGTATTCCGCAAATATGCCCGACTGTGAGGGTGGGCACAAGCCGGCGTGAGTAGGTTAAACGTTGAGTTTTATAAGGGCACCACGGGGTGACCAGCCCCTCCCCTCCCCACCCTGCCCCACCCCACCCAGCCCCACACCTCCCACCCAGCCCCACCCTCCCCACCCAGCCCCTCCCCACCCTCCCCATCCAGCCCCTCCCCACCCTCCCCACCCCACCCAGCCCCACCCTCCCCACCCAGCCCCTCCCTCCCCACCCAGCCCCTCCCCACCCTCCCCACCCCACCCAGCCCCACCCTCCCCACCCAGCCCCACCCTCCCCACCCAGCCCCTCCCCACCCTCCCCATCCAGCCCCTCCCCACCCTCCCCACCCCACCCAGCCCCACCCTCCCCACCCAGCCCCTCCCTCCCCACCCAGCCCCTGCACGACGGACACAATAATCCCCTGTGGGCAGGAGGTTCCTACCAGTATAAGGATTCTGAATGTGAACACCAACACCACCATTAAGTGGATTAGAGCCCCGGCCCTCCAGCTCGTGACACGTTGTGAGTGTGATGAGCGGACAGACACAAGGCTGACAGTTAAGGGAGTTAAGGAATGTTAGGGCAGTTAAGACAATTAAGCGAGTTAAGCGCAGTTAAGGCTGTTCAATGAGCTGAAAGGCAATTAAGGCAGTTAAGTGAATTGAAGGGCAGATAAAGAAAGGATGGAAGGAAGGGCAGTTAGAGAGTTCAGCCTGGAGAAGAGAGAGAGAGCGCCTGTGTTATGAGAGCTTTCAATGAAGTTGAATTATAGTAGAAAGGTCAGAGTGAGAGTAGACGTGCTACCGATTGTTCCAAGTGTGGAACAGTATATTTTATTCAATTATGTTACTCATTTGGGTTCAAACGTACACGATTGTCGGAGTCTTTTATCTTTCTGTTTATAAATGTAGGCGACGTTACACATGCACCACTTCTCCTTTCGTATGGCTGACGTAGATGCAGATCAACTACAATTTCACATTCAGGCAGTCAAGCCAGATAACCGCATCAGGAGCAGCGTAGTGTACCGCTGTGATGTCTTTTTCGTATATGTGGATCGGGGCATTGAATCGTTCTATGTTGTACGGTCTGTTCTGGATGACCACAGTCGTACACTGGAAAGTTTTTTTTATTTCAAATTGTGCATCAGGTATCCGCCATGATTTGTGCGATTTAGGGTGGACAATGAGCTTCGTGGAAGATCAAAGATCATGGGGATCTTCTGCGTTTCGTCTTTCACATGCACCACTTGTAAACACACGAATAACCAAATCATTTCGTCACAGTCGGCGTGAGCCGGGGGGGGGGGGGGATAAGGGGGGCGTGGCCTCACAATTGGTGGGCGGGACTATCTCGGCGGAGGCAGGGTTATTGTGGAGGGGCGGGGCTATAGTGGGGAGGGGGGCTGTAGTAGAGGGGCGGGGCTATAGTGGGGAGGGGGGCTATAGTGGGGAGGGGGGGCTGTAGTAGAGGGGCGGGGCTATAGTGGAAAGGGGGGCTGTAGTAGAGGGGCGGGGCTATAGTGGGGAGGGGGGCTGTAGTAGAGGGGCGGGGCTATAGTGGGGAGGGGGGCTGTAGTGGGGAGGGGGGCTGTAATAGAGGGGCGGGGCTGTAGTAGAGGGGCGGGGCTATAGTGGGGAGGGGGGCTATAGTAGAGGGGCGGGGCTATAGTAGAGGGGCGGGGCTATAGTGGGGAGGGGGGACTATAGTGGGGAGGGGGGGCTGTAGTAGAGGGGCGGGGCTATAGTGTGGAGGGGGGCTGTAGTAGAGAGGGGGGACTATAGTAGAGGGGCGGGGCTATAGTGGGGAGGGGGGCTATAGTGGGGAGGGGGGCTGTAGTAGAGAGGCGGGGCTATAGTGGGGAGGGGGGCTGTAGTAGAGAGGCGGGGCTATAGTGGGGAGGGGGGCTGTAGTAGAGGAGCGGGGCTATAGTAGAGGGGCGGGGCTATAGTGGGGGGGGCTATAGTAGAGGGGCGGGGCTATAGTAGAGGGGCGGGGCTATAGTGGGCAGGGGAGCTGTAGTAGAGGGGCGGGGCTATAGTGGGGAGGGGGGCTGTAGTAGAGGGGCGGGGCTATAGTGGGGAGGGGGGCTGCAGTAGAGGGGCGGGGCCATAGTGGGGAGGGGGGCTGTAGTAGAGGGGCGGGGCTATAGTGGAGGGGCTGCAGTAGAGGGGCGGGGGCTGTAGTAGTTGCAGGCGGGGATATCCTAGAAGGGGCGGTGCCTCACGAGCGAAGGGGCGGGGCTATCTTGAAGGGGCGGGGCTTGTAGTGTAGTGGTGGGGGTGGTGGTGGTGGAGGGGGGTGGAGTGTTGCGCTTGGCGAGGAGTCGCTCACTCGCGGCTGGCTGCCGTGGACGCGCGCGAGGAGCTGCGCAGATTTCGCAGTCGCTGCCCCCCTCCTCCCTCCCTCCCTGCCCCCCCCCATCTCTCGCATTTAAACTCTCCCGTTGCGCGACGCTACGAACATTGGAAAACAAAACCGAAACATCAAAGTTTAGTAGTTGTTGTTGTTGAGCTTTTGTTGTTGTTGCTTTTGCTCCTCGCACTGAACTCGGCCACAACGAAGGAGGACGTTCGCGTGGCCGCGTGAACTTTTATTGTTTTAGGGTTTTTATTTTGTTAAGGGAGCGCGAGATGGAAGTGATTGCTGGTGACCGAGCACGCGGATATCGCGCGTGAAGTTTATTTCCGTTGTTTGCGCTGCTAAGATCGCGTGTTAAAGTGTGTGACTCACTGTGAAGAGCACACACACACACGTCTTCCTCGTCATCATTGCTGCCTGCGACAGCAAACACGAGCTGAGGCTGAGGCTACACGACGTGGCATCAAGAGCAAACAACCTACATCCGCGACATCAACAACCACTCCCATCGACATCAACAACCAATCAATACATCAACAACATCGTACAGCAACCACCACATCATCGATAGCAACCACCAATAAATATATCAACAACATCGTACAGCAGCAAGTCGCTACCATCGACATCAAGAACCCCATCGAGAACGTAGGCAGCAACAACAACCACTCCCATCAACATCATCAACAGCAACAACCAATAAATACATCAACAACATCGACAGCAAACAACAACATCAACAACATCGACAGGAAACAACCACAACAACCACAACAATATCGGCAGCCACAGAGCCGCAGCTGAAGGGGTCCGTGCGACCAGTTCGTGTCAGGGTCTCTGGCTGGTCGCCTGAGTAAGAAGAAGTGACTGGTCACTCAGTAAACAACAACAACAAGGACAACAACAACAAGGAGTTGTTGTTTATCTCAGCACATCGACAGCCAACAAGAACTTCATCTCCTTCAAGACGGACTCCTTGCCACGTCTATTGCGAAACCAGCTGCTGCTGCAAGTGGCTGGAGCTGTCTGGTAAGTTGGCTCAGACATTCGTGTGGTGATGTTGGTGATGATGATGTTGATGATGTTGGTGATGATGATGTTGGTGATGTTGATGATGTTGATGATGATGATGTTGGTGATGTTGGTGATGTTGATGATGGTGAAGTTGGTGATGTTGGTGATGTTGGTGATGATGATGTTGATGATGTTGGTGATGATGATGTTGGTGATGTTGGTGATGATGATGTTGGTGATGTTGGTGATGATGATGATGTTGGTGATGTTGGTGATGATGATGTTGATGATGTTGGTGATGATGATGTTGGTGATGTTGGTGATGATGATGTTGGTGATGATGATGATGTTGGTGATGTTGGTGATGTTGAGGATGTTGGTGATGTTGGTGATGATGACGTTGATGATGTTGGTGATGTTGATGTTCTGCTACGAGAGCGGCGTGTGTCGGCTGCACGGCGTCGGGTTTAGAGTCTCAACCAAGTCGATGTACAATGGAGTGTATTTAACGATTACGTTCGTCAATAATACTATCGTAAAAGGAACATTGTTCGACGTCGACGTTTCGGACAGTGACCCTTATTTTTTTGTAAACAATGTTACGTGCTCATGCGGAAGGGCCAATATCTATAATGTGCGACGTTTTGGGCAGTGGCCTTTGCACAGCTCAATTTTTGCCCGAAACGTCGCAAATTCTAGTTTATTTTTTTAAGGTAGGGTTATGTACAATTATTTTTTTCTACCTACGTGACTTTACCGAAAGAACCAAAGATTATGGATTCCTGCAGTCACGAAAGCTTCAAATCAAGATTTCTGTACAATTGTGTAGATTTATTTTATTTGTGCTTGTCCACCGCTGTCAACGGCAGCCATCAATAGACAAGTAATTTGTGTAATATCTTATTCATCTACATCTTTTAAATTATGTATATTGTACGTATATACCGTGCCAATACCGAGTGATTTGTTCTTCGGCTCAATCCACTGACTTGGGCACTCGTCAGATCTGGGAAGCTAAGCAGGGGTTGAGCCTGGATTTGACGGTCCTGCTCTTGAGATGATGATGGGTAGTCATCGTGCACAAGCTGGGTGGTGTGTCACAGGGCTACGTGCCGGTCAGCAGACGGAAGTGCAGCACAATCCATTGTACTCCACTCATGCTTCCACGTCCCCTGATCTGGCCAGCGTGGTCAAACAACCTCCACGACCCGCACACAATTGGGGTGGTTACCGGTGGCTTCATCCGGCAGTGGACTTATAATGGTATCTGTACCGTATGCGGATATTTCGTAAAGGCGTTATGTAAGAAGTGAGTTCTTACGGCTGTCAGCCCACATCCGATCATTATTAGTCTTTACCTTTGTAGATATTTGCATACGGGGGGAATAGGCCCATATTTCCACCACGTGGAGCAGAGCATGAAACCCACGGTCACGTTTGTGCTACCAAATAGTTGCGTTTGCGTTTTCTTGAACTTACCGAGTCAGCTCTCGGTTACACAAGCGTCCGAATGTTGACATCCAACCCTGGTTATGTAACTTAAATGGCTCCAGTCACAATCTCCATGGAAGTGGGTAATTTCCTGAGGCTGAAAGTTTTTCCAACATCACTATATGCAGTGTATAACAGAACGATTAGGGTCACATTGCATAGTTACGGTATGTGGTTATTTGCAAAGGCAACGATTTTTTTCTCTCTAAAAAAATCTTACAGCACAGTATAATAACCTCGAATAAAATGTCTTTAAGGTCACTACGATTTGGAGCCTGTGGCCAAATTTGCCGGAATGTGCCCGATCTGGTCAGATCTCCAAGCTAATCAGGTTGGAGTCTGACATAGTTCTTTGATGGGTGACCACCGTGTTATAGGCTGTGGGGCGATGTTGTAGGCAGCATAGGTTAGTGCAGCAAAATGAATTGTTTTGCTGTAGGTGTACGTCTGTGCTCTCACCTTGTATGCTTCTTGTCTTCACCAACCTGCGCTGACCAGCATGGTGAAGTATGGTCAAACAAGCCCCATGAGTGACAGTTTGTGTGTGGGGGAAGGCCTACTTCTAACAATGGATAAAACACATACTGTGATCCATAACCTTAAAGAGATTTTTTAAAAGATCAAAGCAGTACCGTATAAGGAGTCACACCCAGTATGCCTGAACAGACTCATAAGCAGTCAACAGTAGCTGTACTATTATTCACTTCTGATTCCTGCCATGAGAACGTAGAATTTGCACGTCTAACTCAGGATCACTTGGGCAAGAAAGCATTTGCTGCCATGATTATGTAATCACGATTGTTTATTTTGTTCCTCAAAGTTTCCCTTTGAACACATTTTTCTGGTTCCCATTAAGGCTTTGTATTTGGGGAATGAGAGATTAGAGAATGTACGCAAGTTAGATGCATATTTTTGACTGTAAAAAAAAGTGGGCTTTGGGCAGGACACGTCACTGGCACTGATGGTGGCCGTTGGGAGAAAATAGCAATGGAGTGGCAGCCAAAGGCGATTATTACACGTCCGAGAGGGCATTCAAAGCGTTGATGGAGTGATTAAATCAACATGTGTGCAGGTGCTCGGTGCATTGTTACATTTGCAGGATCCTCAGAAACAGTGACGGCTTGGTGGAGGCCTGCATCCAGTAGTGGATTGGCAGAAAACCACACATTGTGAGAAACAACACGTGGGTGCGGTTTTTTTTTCCTGTTTCCAATGGGGACGGAATGTTTCTCGCAATGCTCAACGGGCCCCCGGTGTCTACCCACCCTCGAGATCCCGGCGCTAAGCTAGAAGCTGTGATAGGAATTTCCTCCAGGAACGAGGCCAGAAATAAACCCCAGCTCGGTTTGCCCAACAGTCTCGCCGAGACTCTGTATGACACACACGACACACACAGCACACATGTAATGCGAATCCGTCAAATAAGGGTGTCAGATTATGGTCTATCTGGGGAACACAAACAAACAGTTTTGTCCGGCAAACAGCAAATAAAACGAAATTCTCGACAATTTCCTTTGGGTCATCCTTCGTTTTAAGTTCATGGTCAGATACGCTGAATATATTGCCTCGCTGTGCAAACATTTTTTACAGCATTTGCATTATTGAAAAATACTTTAGTTTCCAAGGGCTCTATGTGTTTTGTATGCTGAATTTTAACACCGCGTATTGTAATTATACAGCCCTTTGTCAGGGCACTGTTTGATGGCGCTGTGCCTTTGGGTCAAGGGGGTTATTTGACAATGCTTCACCTTGTTGGTGAAGGTGGGGCGCATGATGCCCACAACGTAGCCTCCAATACATTTTATGCATGCCCATCTTATTATTGTTCCAGGCTCAAAAACCCTGCTTAGCTTCCGAGATCCTTACTCTTCCAAGTGATTTGGTCACAGACACTCCACCTGTACCACATTCAGTATCAAGCTGAATTGTTGTTGGGATTCAAGTTATTACTGTGTTGTGATGTACAGTTTTGTGCAATAGTAATACATTTACAGTAATGTATAGTGGTTCATGTACAGTATTTACTTATTGTATAAAAGCGGTTGGGGTTTTTTACGCGCTGTGAGCTTTCGCACTGAATCACAATGGGCCACTTTCAAATGACATTGATGAGTGGTGTGGACGTGACTTTAGTTGGGCAGATTCTGCATCGAGTGAAGTGTTCACTCTGTACATTAACGTTTTATGTGGAGTTTACACCATGTAAAGTTAAAGCCTATCCATTTTTCCTTTGAAGTTCTGAGACATAAGATTTAAATTACACAATTCTCTATGGTACTATACTAGATACCCGCTGTTTTCACAGTATGGTAGGAAATGGGTGTACCGTGTAGAGTATTTTGTAATTACGAATATGGAATTTTAGAACACACAGACCCAGTATATGTATATATAAAAAGGTCATGGATAGCCTTATACCCTGTAGGGAATGTGTTGTTAGCGAGCACCTATTAAAGCTGGTACAGCAAATGAGGGGATGGCGTGATCACCAGCACTACGTTCGGATGCTTTTTGCTTCCCAATGCTAATGTTTACACACCGCACTGGGTACAGTACTCATTTAAGGCTGAGTCGACCAAGGGGAGGCCATACAAAACACACAAAATATTTTGTCATCCATTTGCATGTGATATTAAATCGCTTTATGTCTAAGCTTGTGTTTATTCAATTCCTAGTCATAGTAATTGTGCAAAATGTTTGCCTGTGTTACAAATGCAAAATCTGCATATTTTTATTGTTCAAATCAGATGATGCAAAATCCACGTTTACATAATATAATGAAACTAGCCTTTTCCGTCCAAGGACGGGTGTATTTCAGTAAATCTGAAACTTGCAAGCGAAAAGCAGACCGAGACGTGATATTCATTGCATCCATTCGTGTGCGATTTGTAAGGCCGCGGTGACACAGACTTATTTCATTTAAAGGTTATATATAATCCCTTGTTCATCACGACGTCCTTTTTACTTCTATGTCTCCACAGCGTGACGGAGATCGCGTGACGTGAGGGTTCTGCCTTTGTAGTGAGGGTTGTAAGTTGACGCTGAGGAGGGGGGAGGAGGCGCCTCGCCCCCCCCCCCCCCCCATGTGGGGTGACGTCAGCCGCTAATTAATATTAATGATGGGGGTGTCCATTTGGAAGGCGTCACCTCTTTATGATAATTCATGTGGGGGGCTGTTCGATGTAGAGTGACGTCACTTGCTCATGATTATTAATGAGGGGGGGTGTTACATGTGGTGTGACGTCACTAATGATTATTAATGAGGGGGGTGCTACATGGGGTGTGACGTCACCCACTCATGATTATTAATGAGGGGGGGTCCATGTGGAGGACGTCACCTGTTCATGAGTATTAATGAGGGGGGCTGGCCGACGTGGAGTGGCGTCACGCACGGGACACACAGACATCCTTGGCTCATTATAGTAGTAAATGGGCGTTAGCCACAATACATGGTTACTGATTATATATAGTTTTTCTGTTTAACACATAGGCTTTCGCGACCAATATCACCCATAATAGAGTTG